TTATATGATTAGATGGATGGATGGATGGATGATTAGATGGATGGATGGATGGACAGACGGACAGACGGACGGACGGACAGACGAACGGATGGATGGATGGATGGATGGATGGATGGATGATTAGATGATTGGATGGATGGATGGATGGATGGATGGACGGACGGACGGATGGACAGATAGACGGACGGACGGATGGATGGATGGATGATTATATGATTAGATGGATGGGTGGATGATTAGATGATTGGATGGTTGGATGGATGGATGGATGGATGGATGGATGGATGGATGGATGAACGGACATAGTCAAATGTTTGCAGTTGTTTTAATGAGATTTAAATTGCCTGTTTTAATTTTATAGATTACAAGGAAAATAAATGATTTTTATGCAGTAAATTAACGATTATTTTTTTAACTTCATTCTTACTTGGATTTCACTCCAGAAATCATCAGAATTCATGTCTTCATCACGGTCTTCATGACTGCAGCTTTCTGTCCACCGCTGCTGGTCTTGAGTCTCCTGTTGAGTTAACATGATTATTTATGTTCAACATCTAAACTCATTCATAGAGTTAAGGTGTGCCTCTCCCTCTCACTCACTCTGACACCAGACTGAATACACAACTACAACACGCTGATGCTGCAGAAAAAGATAATACCAGACATGTATGATCGTGGGTCCATGTAATAATGATAATCTAATAAAGGCAGCTTTGTTCTTGCATTTGATCACAAGTTATTTTGTTTTACAAAAAGTAAAAGAACTTCTGTGGATGCTTTTGAATGCAGATGATTTGAGACTTACCATGTGATTAATTTAGCTTTTCTTCAGCAATAAACAACGTCTGCTCCACAGCAACTAAAAAAATACAGGATGACAAAGAAACACAGTGACTTCACTCGTTCTGTCTACGACACACACACACACACACACACACACACACACACACACACACACACACACCCCTTCCCTCATCATAACATCTATTTCCCAGCGTCTGTATTTGTAGGAACTGCTGAAATAAAACAATCAGTCCAAATGTTTGTCCTCGTGAGACAGAGACACGTTTTGTTTAAAGTTTTAACATCTAATTACCTTTTCTTAGGAGAGAACAAGCAGCCATACTCCACAGATTTCCACACACATCACCGTAACTGAAGAGCTCTGCTCTGCTGTCTGTCTGCGTTTTGACCTGCAGAGATCCCACATGTTCCGTCTGACTTCTGGGTCACATGACCGGCCGTAGACGCGAACCACCTGGTCAGATTAATGCGACCGGGGAAGAGCTGAAGGAGTTTTGCAGCTTGTTTCCACTCAGCATCCCCATCCAGGCTGTAAACCTCCAGATCTGATCATGCTCGTGTATCACATTTAGAAAAAAAGGAACATTAGGTACATTAATCAGTTTTTAAATCCTGATTGGAACAAAGCACAGTGGTGTCAGCGTTGATGGATGGTATTTCAGACAGTGTTTGCCATCTATTAGTCTCCCTGCTTCTCTGCTGCATGGCAGCCTGACCTTAATCAGCTGTTAGCCTTGTTAGCAGTTGCCTGCTGCTACGCAGTCTGGTCAGATTAGACACTTCTAGGACTTCATGCATCTGTGCAGGTCTTGACCAAAGAAGTGCTTTCCTCGGGATAATCCACTTAATGTTTGAGTGGGGGATGGGCCCAGTGTGATGAATCAGCCCACTTCATAGAACCTCCAACTACAGTTAAAAATATCAATTATTCAGGTGATTCTGGAAATCTCAGAGCTTTGTGAGGTTTACAGTAACTATCGTTAAATTTGGTTCAGTATTTTTATGCTCTTTAACTGTACTATTTTGTGCAATTTCAGCTGTTAACTTTATTTTCTCTGTAAGTGTTTTTCTCCCCAGAAGAAGCTACAATGACGTTCTGCTGAGCTGTGGTGGCCTCATGGAGGGGGCCATCGACTAGCACACTGCTGCTAACCACTAAAACATTCTCCCTCTCCTGATAATAACTTTTTGTTTTCATTGACTTTTGATGTGCTAATACTAGTTTATCTGTTTAATTATAGATCCTCTAGGATAAATACAATAAAGTTTATCTTTCACCAAATACAATATTTACTAAGACATCACAATATAACTGTAGACACATTACTTGTCTTTGTGTGTGTGTGTGTGTGTGTGTGTGTGTGTGTGTGTGTGTGTGTGTGTGTGTGTGTGTGTGTGTGTGTGTGTGTGTGTGTGTGTGTGTGTGTGTGTGTGTGTGTGTGTGTGTGTGTCTGCTCTGTCTTCTCGATCCCCAGTGAGTCGTGGAGGATGGCTGCTTATACTGAGCCAGGATTCTCTGGAGGTTTCTTCCTGTTAAAAGGGAGTTTTCCTCTCCACTGTCGCTGTATGCTTGCTTAGTATGAGGATTGCTGTATAGTCACTGACACTTGTCAGTGACTTGACGCAATTTGCTGGGTTCCTTATATAGGAAACATTATTTCTGATTGGCTTAATGAACTGACCTGAATTGGAATTTTTATTATGTGAAGTGCCTTGAGACGACTCTTGTCGTGATTTGGCGCTATATATCAATCAATCAATCAAAGCTTTATTTATAAAGCGCCTTCCGCAACCCTGTCAGGAAGCCCAAAGCGCTGAACATTGTACAGTTGTATAGATGGATATGTATATTGTATATAAATAAACATGAATTGAATATTTGAAAATAAACTGTAATACTCAGGCCAATGAAATCCTAATTTTTAATACAATGAAGTCAGGGCTGCATGGTGGCGCAGTTGTTAGCGCTGTTGCCTCGCAGCACGAAGGTTGCAGGTTCGAAACTCGGCTGTGGCCTTTCTACATGGAGTTGCGTGCTCTCCCCATGCATGTGTGGGTTTCCTCCGGGTACTCCGGTGTCCCCCACAGATCACAACATGCCCTATAGTTTAAAAATTATAAGTCGCTTTGGATAAAAGCGTCTGCCAAATAAATAAACATAAACATTTCTTTCTTTAGCATGCCATACCATGTTTATTCAAAAAGCACATTCAAAAACAGCATGACAGCTGACCACAGTGCTGCACAACAAGGAACAGAGAAGCTCCATAGTAAAAAGACAAAATTCAAAAGCCAAAAGATGAGATACTAAATAAATAAAAGCTAATTAAACATAAAAATAAAAGCAGAGAAAGCTCCACAGAATAAAACACAAATGGCAATCAGTCTGAAAGACAGTAAAGCCAGGTCACTGACCAAAAGCTAAGGAAAAAAATAGACCTTCAGCGCCGACTTACACCGACCCAGTGATGGGGCCTGTCGTACATGTAGCGGGGGTGCATTCCAGAGTTTGGGGGCAGCGAATGAGAAGGCCCGATCCCCATGACATTTACAACACATCTTCAGGATGCACAGGAGTAGCAATGATCTCAGGGATCTGGAAGGGATGTAAGGTTTTTGTAGTTCAGAGAGATGAGAGGAAGCTGGACCTTTCAAGGTGTTGTAAACAAAAGTTAAGATCTTGAACTGAATCCAGCACTGAACAGATAACCAGTGAAAACAGGTGAGAATGGGAGTAATGTGACAGCATCTGGAGGTGTTTGTGAGGAATCTAGCTTTATAGTAAAATTTCTGTCTAGCTTTATTTGTAGCTAAATAAAATATAAGAGTTATAAAAAGAAATAAAGCTTCTTATGCACAAAATAACAACTGCAGACATGCAGCTTTTATTGTTGGTTTAGAAGTCTAAAAAAATTACATGAATTATTGTAAAGCCACTCAGCTTATCTCTCAGTCTACTGTGGGGTCCTCATGTTAAATTTAATTTACTAAAACTAATTATAGATCTGTGAGGCAGGTTATAATAAGTCATCCAGAATAATAAAAATGATCCATTCAGATTTGTTTTACCTTAAAATCAATTCATATCTTGAATTGTTGGTTTAAAATGTTTCAGTTATCATTGATAATTATGCAAGATTAGAAAAATAAATATGTATTTATTTTAATACCAGCAGGGTGTCCGAGTTTTTAACTCAAAGTGAACCTGTCTTGTACTTGATCTGCAAGATTGTAACGCAACACAAAGACACACTTCACCCAGTTCACCACTAGAGGGAGCTGCAGTCAAGATGTTTCCACACAGGTGTTCAGAGCAACACATAAACAGGTTACAGCTTTTCTTGGTCACTTTGGTGCATTTCTCACAACAGAAATAAACTTTGCACAACAGATAGTGCAGCCTACACAACGTGCAGTCATTTGGGTGCATCCTAGTGGCAGATTCATGTTCATTTCATCCAATGGCATGTGCTTTTGGACATAAAGCCACGAACTAAGTTCAAATATCTGTAAATGATCACTTTTGACTTGCTTTTATCAAGTCTGTCAAAGCGAACTCTACTTGTACAGGCTGAATAGTCATTGTTCACACAATTAATAATATTCATTTCATTGCTTGTGTCATTACACATAAAGCTGTTGAACATGTCAAACATTTTGTACATCCATTTTCTAAATATGTTTATTGTGTTCACATGAAAATGTGTGTAAATAACTTTTCTCAGATGAACTTTATCTTACACTGATGAAAGCGGTGTGTCTCTATAGGGACATAATCCCTGAGAATGAAAGGGATTAGCCTGATGACAGTCGCACAAAGTATGTAGTAGTTTGGGATGATGTAAGCTTCCACCACTCTGCTGTGGTCAGGCGCTGGTCTGCAGCACATGACAGGATGCTTGTAGAGTATCTTCCTCCATCTGTTCCTAAATCCGATTGAGGAGTTTTTCTCTTCCTGGAGGTGGAAGGAATATAACTGGTGTCCACACACCCAAATGACCCTGCTGGAAGCCATGAATGCAGCTTGTGATGACATCACAGCAAAGGGTGCAGAGTGGATTCAGCACTCAAGAAGATTCTTTCCTCAGTGCATTGCAATCGATGTGCTAGAATAATAAACACCAGCTCTTATCTTACTTCATACAAATGTACAGGTCTGGGATTTAGTTGGATTACAGTAAAAATAAAAAAATAAAAACTAAATACATCCTGCAAAGACATGACATTTTTAAGTGTTTCCAACTTTTTCTGTGATGTTACATAAACTGCATCGAGGAGTTAGCGACAGCTACTTCTTTTGGGTCAGGTGAACATTGTAGAGTTCAAGTATCACAGCACTCAACTGAAAGCATTCACTCATTTGAGATCTGGTTCTTGTTCATTCAAGTTTAGATGCAGTTTTATTTTTTAGATGTTTCAGTGTAGTTCTGATGCTTTACCTCAAGTATTTGGGAACACAGAGACGCTAAATGCTGAACAACAATGGTGCGCATATTACTGTAAAATAAATACACACATGCTGGTCATGCAAAAATACAGTAAACAAATAACTACACTTCAGACAGGAGGATCTGGTTTTCTTACCTTGACGGTATGTTACTAATGCTGCAAGGAAGCAGTCACGGATCTGAATGTAAACATGATTCACCCCGACCAGACGTCCCAACGGGTGTAGCTGGGTCCTGTGTTACAGCCTGAGGGGAGACTGTAAAGAAAGAAAGAAAGAAAGAAAGAAAGAAAGAAAGAAAGAAAGAAAGAAAGAAAGAAAGAAAGAAAGAAAGAAAGATAGATAGATAGATAGATAGATAGATAGATAGATAGATAGATAGATAGATAGATAGATAGATAGATAGATAGATAGATAGATAGATAGATAGATAGATAGATAGATAGATAGATGATAGATAGATAGATAGATAGATAGATAGATAGATAGATAGATAGATAGATAGATAGATAGATAGATAGATGGATAGATGGATAGATAGATATGTAATGTTTCAGTAATTTTTTCTGATTAAAGGTGAAATTTGATGTAAACAAAACCGCAACAAGTTAATTATCAATAATAATTTGACCTTTCTTGTGGAGCATCTTAGGAGGCCCTGGGGATTGGCTGTCCATCTCTAGTATGCTTCATGGATTAAGAGAAGGTCTAAGGTTGTGTCCCCAGAGGCCGTCTGTGAGGGTGCTATGGGAGGATACAGGATGGAGGGGTTGCATCACTTTTAAAAGTGATGTGTTTCCTGTGCAGATTCTCAGACTTCCTAACACACCTACCATTTGGACTAATGTTCGTTTGGTTTGAGCAAAGCAACTGGCAGGTCAATGGGATTCGACTGAGAAACCTTCAGGTGGTGGTTCAAACGCTTCAGAGGAAGGGCAGCCCTAAGCAGAGACCTTTGATTGATGGAGAACTGGATGTTGGAGAATTTTAAAGAATTTTGTATTTGTGTCATGTAGAGAGAAGTTGGACTAGAGCAGTGGAACACATCAGACCTATTTATGAAGACCCATTTGACAGAAAAGGGTCATCACTGGAGCAGAGTCAGTGTGTTTAACCAGGAGCAATATCACCAACTGAACCCAACTTTGGTTCTCCTCACACAGTACTTAGAAACTCATTAGAAATTAGATGTTTATCTTCTGAAATTTGGCATTGTATATTTTTCCAATCCTTTTATAACCCATGAGCATAAAGTGGGTCTCCACAGCTGCAGGTTGTTTAATAAAGCTTTAATAAGCACACATCCATTTATTTTTATTATTATCTCATTTCAAATGTGGCCAATGGAAAAAAAGGAAATCCTCAGGTTCCAAAAACCAGAAGTGAAACAGAAAGTCTCAGAATTAGTTGAGTGTCAACCTCCATTGTCCCTGGTTACACAGGAAGTGCTACAACTACACCTGGTACCATTATACTTGGAAATAATTATTCAGTTAAGTGTAAATAGCCATGTCATGTGGAATTAATATTAAAGCAAAGTACTTTATTCTATTATCCCACAAAATAAAAATGCTCAAAACCCTAATACGCAAAAGAAAGTTATTTTTTCATATCAACACATGTATTACTCGACCGGAAAAGGGTGGCTTGCCACCTCCGGGTCGGGGGAGAGGTCCTACCTCAAGTGGAGGAGTTTAAGTATCTCGGGGTCTTGTTCACGAGTGAGGGTAGGAGGGATCGGGAGATCGACAGCCGGATTGGTTCAGTGTCTGCAGTGATACGGACGCTGAGCCGATCTGTCGTGGTGAAGAGGGAGCTGAGCCAGAAAGTCAGGCTCTCGATTTACCGGTCGATCTACGTCCCAATCCTCACCTATGGTCATGAGCTTTGGGTAACGACCGAAAGAACGAGATCGCGGATACAAGCGGCCGAAATGAGTTTCCTCCGTAGGGTGGCCGGGCTCAGCCTTAGAGATAGGGTGAGGAGCTCGGACATTCGGGAGGGACTCGGAGTAGAACCGCTGCTCCTCCGGATCGAAAGGAGCCAGTTGAGGTGGTTTGGGCATCTGGTCAGGATGCCTCCTGGACGCCTCCCCGGGGAGGTGTTTCGGGCATGTCCTGCCGGCAGAAGGCCCCCGGGTCGACCCAGGACACGTTGGAGAGGTTACATCTCCAATCTGGTCCGGGAACGCCTTGGGGTCCTGCCGGAGGAGCTGGTGGACAAGGCCGGGGAGAGGACGGCCTGGAGCTCCCTAATTGGGATGCTGCCCCCGCGACCCGGACCCGGATAAGCGGAGGAAGACGACGACGACGACGACGACATGTATTACAGAAATTCAAACACTGTATAAATCTCGGTATTAATGTATATGGTGTAAAATGAGGAAACAACCTCAACAAGGAAATAAAAGATTCAAGACCACTCAATGTAGCCTCAAAAATGTATTAAATCAAGTGTCTTGGGTAAATATGAAAATGTACGCTTATCACAAAGATAGGGTCTGTTTTAGTTTGAAATTCAGATTAGGAAGGTCATAAAAAATGAAAATATGTTTTTATTTGAAAGTTTATAAGCAGGATGATAATGATGCTGCTTTTATTTTGTAAAAAGGAGCAGTTTTTCTCTCTGCTCTTTTTACAGTTACAATAAATAAATAAAGTGTCACCCATCCACAATAACAATGATGCAGCTACATTATAGAAGGCTCAGTTTGGTGAGGCAGAAATAAGTCGCATCTGGTTAAATTAGACATGTTAATGTGATAACAACTATTGTTTAGTTAAGACATCAGACCTGATTAACACTTGATTAACTCTCGTCAGAAGTTTAATTTGTCCGTTTCAGGGGCGCCTCCAGAAATTTTTGATAGAGGTGGCCAGATGGGGCCAAAGAAATTTTTGGGTTGGCACACCACATTGATTCTTCTGGTAACTCTGAGAGAGTTTAGCCTGAGGCGATGCATTGCATTGCCCCTTTATTCATTTTTATGTACCATTTATTAAAAATACAGTACGTATCCAAAACGTTTAACTTTAATTTTACAAACAGAAACATTTCAGAAAAATACATTTCCGTTATTTAAAATGTCATTTCAATTTTTATTTTAAAATGTTAGTTAGTTTGTTTGTTTGTTTGTTTAATTCACTTGTTGCTGTGTTCACAAAAAACTATAGAAATAAAAACTTGTTTCTAATGGTGAGCAGCAGAAGCATATGTATTTATTTCTGATTATGTCTTTACTCATTAATTGTATTATTTTTATTTTGTTTCACAATTATGTCTTGAATAAGCAAAATCAATGTATGGTTTGAGTAAACATTAATGTGATTTATTAACACTGGCTTTTGCTGGGGGGCAGGAATTTTGTAGGGGTGGCCATGGTCACCCCTGACCACGTACTCCTCGGGGGCGCCCTTGCGTTTTACCGATTTTCTGCGCCAGCGGCTCTTGTTGCTCCGCACAAAAACGTAGTCCCTGCTGAAATAAATCGCTGGTGCTCCAGCGGAGCTGGCGGCGCCTTGGTTCCCTGCAAAGTTCACCCAGAAGGTGAGTAACAACCAGGAGATTCGGTTCATCTAGACAGACCGAAAAGTAACTCTTAACACGCTGCTTTTTCGTTTTTTTTTTCGTGTTGTGTTATCAGGATTTAGAAAACTCTACTCTCGCTGACTTTAAGTAACTGACAAACGAACATTTAAAATTTGTAGGTTTTTTGTTATAATAGTTATTAAACCATTTCTGTTTACAAATAGGCTATCTATGTGTGGAGCAGCACATACAACACACATCTACTGCATTCATTCTCTGCACGTTTTCCCTCATTAGTATACCTTATCAGTATCAATAATCTTTGCATTTGAATGTGGGAAACACTGTCCACTTCTGTCTGACTAAACCAGCTCATTTGTTTTCAGCTGCGCAAAAATACAGTTAGAATAAAGGAAAATGTTGCCAGGATGATCCAATTTGTTGTTGCCTTTTGCACAAACTGTGTGCTTTATTCTGCACCAGAAAACTCTAGATGTCACTTTGCTGGGATGATTTGCTCATTAATTTTCTACTGTCATGTTTTTATTTGTCAACCTTTTAGTAAAAAGTGCAAAAGGCATTTTAGTGTCCATTAAAAGTCAATATATTCAGGTAGACTTTTCTCTTATTCACTCGTTTCTCGCAACATAAAACTTAATTACAATCAACAATAAAAAGCCAAGGTGAAAGTCATGACTCGAATCTGTCATGTCCCTTGTCTCCTTCTCTGTCTTCCTCAGGACATTTCCTGCAGACACAGATCCAGCCATGTCTAAGTCCAAGGACACCGGCTCTTCCATCATGCACACCCAGCAGCTGCAGGCTGCCGTGGCTGACACTCTCATTGAGCACATGTGCCTGCTGGACATCGACTCCGAACCGGCCATGTCTCGCAACACCGGCATCATCTGCACAATCGGTCAGAACAGTTGCCAGAGCTTGGCTGGTCTGTTTCCCTGTCATTAACACTTAGGTTAACCTACGTGCCCCTGTGTGTTCACTGGCTGTAGGACCTGCCTCCAGATCTGTGGAGATGGCCAAAGAAATGATCAAAACTGGGATGAACATTGCAAGAATGAACTTCTCACATGGCACGCATGAAGTGAGTGAACACTGAGAGGAACTAATCCTTCAGCAGCTTTTAAAAACAAATAACCTTCCTTGATGTCACGTATGAGGTCATTTCAGACAGTGCAGCATGCTGAAGAAGGATTCTAGTGCAGCAGCAGCTTCTTTGCCCCCTGCGAGCGATGCAGTGTCGATCTATACTTCACAGTTGGAAGTCAGTGAGACATTTCTCTTGTCTGTAATGGGATCTGTAAGTTTGAAGTTGGCCCTTCGAGGCTGTGTCTAAGATTTTTGGCTGTTCAGTGGCTGACCTTAAACCAGTGACCCTTTACCTTTAAAAGTCAGGGCTCTGTTTACGATCACCTGAGTGGATGATTATAATTACGATCAGGATATTAAAAGGTTAACGTAAAGCAGTAGGTGCAGCAGTGGATCAGACTGTAAATATATCTAATTTCATTATATAATCTTGATTTTAAAAGATTACATCTAAGTGAATGTGTGTTTTGTACAGGCAGAAATAAATAAGCGTGACCTCCGTCTCATTGATGTAGCAGTTGTCAGGACGGCTATAAATAGACATCACCCTCACAGCAACAGCAAGAGTAGAAGGCACAACAAGACGGAGGAGTAGAGCGATGGTGCTGAAGAGTTTGCACTGCTTTCCCTCTATATGACACGTTTTTATGCGTAATATTAACTTTCTTCATGCTAGGGCTGCTAGTTTATACATCACAAGTGTTTAATAGTTCATGGCTCTACCCATTAGTAGCCTGTCTATTTTAAACCCAGGGAAGCTGAGGGTCATGTGATAAAAATTTGACCACCTGTTGTTGAACAGCTTCAGCTTTTTAGGGACACTGTGTCACGCAAAACCCAAACCACCACCCTAGTGAGCCGGCTTCAGGGTTAAAAAAAGGTCTTTCAGCTTTGAACTTTGGCTATGTTGGCGTGAGTGTGCACAGAAAATCTGAGGATAGTCGGACGACAAAGAACTGCCAGGAATGAAAGCAAAGATATGACAGACCCTGAAAGGAAGGATCTGCTTATTCAACTGACTCAGAATACTCAGCTGGAAATCACCTTGCTGGTGCTAAAATACTGTTTTATCATCATGTCTTTGTGACAGGATGCAGCTAAAAAAGGCTCAAGATCTTTCTTAAAAGGACAATTCAGAAGTTTAAAAGCATGTTTCTGTGGAACAATTATAAACAGTCAGTATCCCAACTACTGTAGATAGTTTTTAACTCCTCAGTTTAGAGAAAGTTTTAAGGAATTTGCCTCTATTTAAAAATCCACCATAGTTACACAATAAATAACGTCTGAGCAGTAATTGCTTGTATAATCTATTCAGACTAGTTTTACAATGACATTTTTTAATATTCCAACATCGTAATGTTTCTGCAGTATCATGCTGAGACCATCAAGAATATCCGTGAGGCAACTGAGAGCTTTGGGCCGGGTTCTGTTGACTACAGGCCAGTAGCCATTGCTCTGGATACCAAGGGACCAGAAATCAGGACCGGTCTTATCAAGGGCGTGAGTTCATGCAAAGCCACCTCATGGGGAACTCATTTTAATTTGTATGGAATAAATAAAGTCTGTAATGTTTATAATAACAGAGCGGCACTGCTGAGGTGGAGCTCAAGAAGGGTGAAACCATTAAGATCACGCTTGATGACCAGCACAAGGACAACTGTGATGAGAAGACTCTCTGGCTGGACTACAAAAACATCACCAAGGTGGTTCAGATTGGAAGCCACATCTACGTTGATGATGGTCTTATTTCTCTCAAGGTTAAGGAAGTCGGTGAGCATATAAACCATCAGCTGCTCTTTTCTTCTCATCCGTCTTTGTAATAAAAGCTGGAAGTGTTACTCAGATGTTTTCTGTTTTAAGGCGGTGACTTCCTGGTGTGTGAGATTGAGAATGGTGGCGTCCTGGGCAGCAAGAAGGGTGTCAACTTGCCCGGCGCGGCTGTTGACCTTCCAGCTCTGTCTGAGAAGGACATTCAGGACCTGCAGTTTGGTCTGGAGCAGGACATTGACATGGTTTTTGCCTCCTTCATTCGTAAAGCTGCCGACGTTCACGCAGTCAGGAAAGTGCTGGGCGAGAAAGGAAAAGACATCAAGATCATCAGCAAGCTGGAGAACCACGAGGGTGTCCGCAGGTCGGTGGAGGAGCACAAGGCCTTGAAAGAGCTCTTGCAGGTGATCATCAGCATTTCTCTTTTCGTCCAATAGATTTGATGAGATCCTGGAGGCTAGTGATGGCATCATGGTGGCCCGTGGAGACCTGGGCATTGAGATCCCAACAGAGAAGGTGTTTGTCGCTCAGAAGATGATGACAGGAAGGTGCAACAGGATTGGCAAGCCCATCATCTGTGCCACACAGGTCTTTGTCATCATCTATAGACTAGCAGTGAAAGAAAAGGTCTTTGCAGATATGGAAAACCAAATGTGTTGTTGTTTACATGAAGATGCTGGAGAGCATGACCAAGAAGCCTCGTCCTACTCGCGCTGAGGCCAACGACGTTGCCAACGCTGTGCTGGATGGCAACGACTGCATCATGCTGAGTGGTGAGACCGCAAAGGGAGACTACCCTCTGGAGGCGGTGCGCACGCAGCACATGGTGAGACTGGCTCTGAGACCACGCTTTGTTTTGTTGGATTCAAATATCGATAAACAATTCATGCAAATGTTAATCAGACTCAAAACTCCTTCATCTGGTCATTTACAACCTGAAGCAGCTGTTCAGCTGACACGGATGCAATCGTTTTTTAAATGTTTGCCTTATGTGTTCTCAGATCGCCCGTGAAGCCGAAGCCGCCATGTTCCACAGGCAGATGTTCGAGGAGCTGCGTCGCACCTCCCACCTGACCCGCGACCCCACAGAGACTGTCGCCATCGGCACTGTCGAGGCTTCCTTCAAGTGCTGTGCCAGCGCCATCATTGTTCTCACCAAGACTGGCAGGTGTGTTGAAGGATCTGGCTCATGGAGCCTCCCACTGCTGCTTTGTGACTCCTCTCTGTCCCGCCGCCTCCACGCCCTCCCCCACACAAACCCCTCTGCTCTGACAAAGTGGGCCAACTATCACTGCACTCACAACCTGTGACCTTTGGAGATCTGAGCCCTGATATTTTACAAGTTAATTTTAACTCCATGTTCATTCCTCTCAGTTCATCTTCACAGCATGAGTTAGAGAACACACAGCACCGTCAGCTGGACTCAGCAAAACTGATATCATTGATTTTTCTGCTCTAACAAAAGCAGGTCTCTGAAAGGGTTCGTGCAGCTCCGAGTTTTGGTTTTCTCTGTCTCTAATCAGACTCACGCGGTTCTTTGTTGCGGGTGAAGGCTGCTAGCCCTCAATGCAACACCAGACAACAATCAGCAAATCCCAGAGAAAGAGCTTCATGTTGTCCTTAGAAACTGATAGAGACAAAGAGTTGACTGCTTTGAGGTCTAACTACAATCTTTGTGATAAACCTCCCTGCAGGTCTGCTCACCTGTTGTCCAGGTACAGACCCCGAGCCCCCATCATCGCCTTGACGCGCTGTGGGATGGTCGCCCGCCAGGCTCACTTGTACCGCGGCGTCTATCCCGTGCTCTATACCAAGCCCGCCAACGACGTCTGGGCGGAGGACGTCGACCAGCGCGTGAACTTTGCCTTGGAAGTTGGTGAGTGGAAAATGTTTTGTTAACACGAGAGTCAGTTAGCGACATAATAGAGAAAATAAGGTTTTCATTTAAACTCTTTTTCAATCAATTTGCAGGAAAACATCGTAAATTCTTCAAGTCCGGTGATGTTGCCCTTGTCGTGACCGGCTGGCGCCCAGGCTCTGGTTACACCAACACCATGAGGGTTGTTCTAGTGCCTTGAACTTCAGCAAAGAACATCAACTAACTCTCTCCCCCTCCCTTTAGTAACACCCTCGATTGCCCTCTGCTTTGGACTGATTTTATTTTCATCGGGAAAGTCTCAACCAGACAGACAAACACATCCGGCGTTGGTAAAACGACATGATTCCTTCCTCGAGTTTATTGTCCAAGTCTTGCTGCTGTTCTTGTCTCCTGACACTTTTTGTGTGGAACGTTTAAGATTTAAGATGATCTGGCACATTTTATTAAAATATATGTTGGATCAGTTGTGTTTGGTTTATCTTTACCTCATTACTAGACCAAGAAACTGGTAAATGACCTGTATTTGATATAGAGCCTTCTAGAGTCCTAGAACCCCCCAAGGCACTTTACAACACAATCCATCACCCATTCACTCACACATTCCTGGTGATGAGGAGCTACAATGTATCCACAGCTGTCCTGGGGCACACTGACAGAGGCGAGGCTGCTGAGCACTGGCGTCATCAGTCCCTCAGACCACCAGCAGACAAGACAGGTTAAGTGCCTTGCCCAAGGACACAACAGCAGCATTCTCTGCCAGGATCGATCCTACAACCCTTCAATTACTGGACAACCCACTCTACCTCCTGAACTCCCACAACCCAAAACAGCCTAGATTGGTGAGATCAGACTTGAATTAGAATTTAAACCTTAGGTCAAATATTTAAAATGATTATTGCATAAATAATAAGTATACGGCACTAGGAAAATCAGGTGTTTGAACTACTAAGGTTAACAAAGTAAAAATACACTTATGTAATTAACTTAGACAAACTTGTACAGCATACTGAAAAGTTAGCTTACGGTTTACTAATGCTTAAGTATATACTGCTCAGAAATACTAGTTCAGTAAACACATTTCTAAGTACTTTGTTCTAGTTTGACTTAGTTAATGTAAGTTGTATTTAAGTTGACTTTACTTTGTAAGTATTAGGAGCTCTAACACATAATTACCTAGTGTACTTACTTTAAGTACAGTAATCAGGGAAAATAAAATTTTACAGTTTGAAGTTAAATGAAAAACATTTACAGTCTTAGTTTTGCATCTCATCTGTCCTGTGGAAGAAAATCTGAATTTTATTTCAGGATTCAGGTGTCCTCCGGATTTTTTTTTTAATCTGATTAAAACTATTTTACTTTAGTGAAATTCAGTTTTAACACATAGAATTCATTTTCTTTTTAATGATGTAACTCCAAAGAGTAATTCCTTTAGAAAGTAGCAGCTTTTAAAAACATGTGAATCATGTTTCTCATAAAAATAAGTTTTATTGATGATTCAATGTAAATGAAAAATCTAATTAATTATTATAAATAAATTAAATTAAATCACTTAAATGTGGTTATTAATATATGTGGATTTGTTGTCCAGGAAAGGCTGTGGTTTTATTTATTTATTTGCTTTTAATCAGCCTGACAGTTTCATCTGAAAAGAAGGAGCTTAGCTCAATCAACCTTAGAAGCAGCACCAAATTAAATATCTATTTACTTACTAATCCACCACTTAACAGTCTGTGAATACGCAAATCATTTTCTTTGTATTGAATATCGGGCAGATTATAATCCTGGCTATTTAGAAATTTGGCACCAAACAACAGCACGCTGTTCTCTATTTTATAATCCGGCTTAAAGCCGGAGACTTCCCCTTCATTTTCATCAGATTTTCCTCATGCCGCGTTACTGCGCTCTTCAAAAAGAAATCAAAAGCGAGGATGAGGGTCAGTGACCATATGTCATTTTTATTGCGTTGATTTCAGTAGCTAAAATAAAATGTGCCTAACATACAGGATTAAATTATCAGATTTGGTGGTTTTCAAAGAAGGCAACAAATGATAAACTAATAAAGAGGTGGATGGTTTTACACCGTAGTCAAAATAAAGCTGAAGTGAACCCCAGCTGATGCTGCTGGCAGGTGGTGGAGGAGAATAAAGATGAAGGACCGAGTCCAGCGGTGCTGACTGGACTGACAGCATCACCCCTCCTCTAAGGAGCTCCAGTGACAAAGCAAACCTCAGGTGGAGTAATGCCGCTGCACAGGATTCTCCAATGGCTTCATGTGGCGACCAGGGTTTAGAGAGAACTAATCATCTAAAACATTAACTAGTAGAAGGATTTACTTAGGTTGGTTTAGAAAGTAGTCCCTTTTTGATTCAGCATAGCATCACAAAGCAGCAACAGCAGATGCCAGATTCTTACAATCAAACATTGCACAGTGAGAGAGGTAAATATGCAGCAATATGACCTGTCGGGATTTTCAGGTCAACCATGAGTCCGGGAAACTGCTTTTTAGCCCTTTGACTGGTGCGAGAAACATTCACATCGATCTTAGTGCATTACTGGTTTGAAGATTCTTAATTATTCACAATTGCTTATATTTTTAAATTCAGTTCCCTTATTGTATCTATAATCTTTGACACAAGTGGTTCAATTCACAGTGTCTTCACATCCCAGTAAAAGTAAAAATAAAACAGGTTATTGCATACAGCGGTCACGGCACACAGACCTCAGCCCAGGTGGCTGCTCTGTACCTGTTTTGTGGCTCCTTTTCCTTCATGTTTCACACATTCAAACGGTTCTCCCACTCAGTTGGTACATTCACCAGTTTGTTTGCTCTGATTTGCGTGACCCATTCGGGGGTGCAATATTGCTATCTTGGAAAACACGCCATCGTGAGGAGCAGCGTTCACGTCACACTCAACTCTACCAGCGCTCTTTTACAAAAGGACATAAACAGACAACGATCATTTTTGGTTTTGTTCATAAATGGAGAACGTTGCAGACAGGCTTTCAACTAAACAAGTGCAGCTAAAGATGATTAAAGAACAGACGAGATTGTTTTAAACAAAGACTGATGACAAATCACAGCATAAGGTTAGAATATAACACACACACACACATATGTATATGTGTGTGTGTGTGTCTATATATAACAATTTATATCTCCATGGGTTTTAAATATAGATCCATCAATCCTTTTCGGTTGTATCATCAAAGATTTTGTGTTCAATAGAAAAAAATAACTGTAGTTGTCCATCATTTGTAATCCATTCACTCTGAATAAAAACTGTCTACAGTCTGATTAGTCCCGCCCACTTAGTCCTGCTCAGGTACTAAACGAGTCACAAGTTAGAGGGGAATTTGGACTGTTTGTATTCGCTCTCCAACATTTTGGTGGGTGGTGTAACAGGAGGACTGGCAGACTGGTCCAGAGGTTCAGGTCCTGTATGCGTCCAACTCACAGCAGCAGTTTGGCCGGGGATCGGACTGTAGGGGTTCCTAACCGCCATGGGGGAGGAGAGGACCCCCGCTGACCAAGGTGATGAGCTGCTCATGACCAAAGGCTGTTCCTGGTGTGGACAGCTGTGAGAGCCTGAGATTGTCTTTATTTCCTGGGTAAAAACATCCAAGTCAGCCGTTTCTCTTAGAGAGGAGGCCCCCCTGACAGGACATGAGGCGGGAAGGGTGACAGAGTCGGGGGAGCCTGTGGCGCTGGGGGACTCACTGTGATAAAGTCTATGTCCCTGCATAGGGCTCTGTGTATTTGGAGTGTGGATGGGAGGCGTGCAGCTGGGCGAGTCCTCAGTTGAGCCGTACTGGGCCAGGGCGGCGAGGGCTGAGTGTTCGGGGAGAACCTGGGGGAGTAATACAGAGTGCAGTCCTGACAGGGTGTGCTGGGCCAAAGAGGCTGCAGCCCCAGCTCTTCTGGGGGGCACTGGAGGATTAAATCCAGTGGACTGGCAGCTGGTGATGACTGGACAATGTGGGGGGTTGACATGGGTGGATGTGCTGCTGGCTGCTTCGTGACTGAGCCCTGTTAGCTGAATGCAGGAGGAAGGACAGGTCTGCTGCAGCTGGCTTAGAATGGGGTTCAATGAGCTGCAGATCAGGGGGGTGATGCTGGTGGCTGGATATCTTCCAGTCAGCCTCCCCGGCACCCCCTGCTGAAGCAAACCTAGAGGTGGAGTGGTCATAGCACCGTGGAAGTGCTGGGAGTGGAGCTGAGCAGAGCAGGCATAGGAGACGGTGGTCTGGCTGATGGGGAACACCGAAGACATGCTGGGGTGGGGGAGGTGAGGGGGTAGATGGGTTACTGGCTGCAGGCTGCTGGTGAAGATGGGCTGTGGAGGTAGAGAGGGAGACAAGAGTCCGGTGTAGTGATGCTGTGTCTCGGAGAACCCCAAAATCGGAGTCTCAACCACAGTTCTGGTTTTAGCCGGGCTGGTAGGAGAACCTGAACCACAGCTACCGGAGGCTCCGATCTGAACCCTCTTCAGAAGGCTACTGTGGTCCTTTCCAGGAGCAGAACCGGGTATCAGAGGGTTGTGGAGGAGGATTGGAGGCAGCGTGGAGTGGTGAGCTAAGGCCAGTGCCAGAGGTGTGGTGGCAGCAGCGGCCTGGAGCGGAGCCTGGACCAGCGGGGTCCAGATGAGAGGGGTGGGGGATGGAGGAGCCGCCGGAGAGTTTAAGGTGGGTGCTGTGCTGGTTTGGATCAGCTGCGTGCACTGGGCCATGTCACGGTCATGCTGGACTATTCTTTGGATGATTTCTGTTTCATGAAGGTTTAATGTGCCTGAACTCTGGTGGTGCTGGACCTTATGTTGAAGAATAGAGTTTCTTTTCCCTGTGAAGAAAAAACAAAACAGCATCTTATTTAAGTGACTCGTTCAATAGAACAGAATACCACCAAGATTGGGTTATCTGCAGCCAACATGATTAAACTAGTTATTCTGTAATAAAACATCTCCATCGGTTCTCATCAGGAACAGCTCAAAACTAATATACAGAGAACAGCAACACTTTTGTCACATTTATGACTGAATGGTTCTAAATCAACAGAAAAATCTGAAAGATTAAAACTGAATCCTTTCATCAAACATCATCATAAATCATGAGAAGAAAATGATGATCTGATAAAAGGAATTTGGTGTCCTGTCCTTATTGTTTTCTTTCAAATAGCTTAATAATAAGGACCCAGTCATGCTACGCTAACACTGAATTAATTTAGTCAAATAGTCATATTAAATTGTGACCCTGACTGTGTTTTCTAAATGAAATTAATTAAATTCAATTAAGCATTCTAAATTAGTATGAACACTTAATTTACTTTTAACTCTGAGTTATAAAACAGTTTTCCATAAACAGGTATGTCTTGTTGAAGAGCAGAATTTATACAAAATGATTGTTGTTTCCATGGCGACATCTTTTTTTTTGTTGGATTTTAACAAATCATTTGCATTAATGAATTTAATTTACCTAATTGATTATTATGAATTTGAATTTATTTGAAAAATGTTATAAGCATGATGTTATAAAAGCCACAAACCCCACTCACCACTCTACAAACTCTAGACTACATCCACAGCAATCACAAAACACAAGATGGAAGAAAACAATAATAATAATAAACAACAAAGACAGCCAACATGTTTGGCTTAAACAGTGCTTAGAGCACCTGAAAGTCAAAATTCATATTTTATTTTATTTTTTTCTGGTCCTTCGTTTGTCCACAGATGCCCCATGTTGACATTTTTACTTCTAAAAATCCAAATTTTCCATCTGGTGTGTTTTTAAATATTTTGAAAGGTAATATTCTTTCAGCTGCACAACAATCAGTGCACCTCTATGTCATGGTCTGCGTCTGCATCTCCCCTCATGTGTCTCCTTGTGTTCTCCATCCCTCTCTAGGTTCTCCTTTTGTGTCTCCTAGCACCCTCATGTGTCCTTGTCTGCATCTTCCTCATGTGTCTCCTGGTGTTCTCCTTTTTTCACCAGATCTTCAGCCCTCTAGGTTTCCCTCCTCAGATATTGCCCTCCCAGGTCCTGTGCTCCCATGGCCCCCTTTAGTCACGCCCCTGTAGTTTTTCTTTCTGTAGTGTTTTTCCTTTAGTTTGAGCTCCCCCCTTAGAATATTAGTTATGTTTTCTGCGCTTCTGGTCTTTAGGTTTTTCTCTTAGGTCATTTTCCTTTAGCTACAGCTGTTCATGTTATTAGTCTCTCTAGTGTGTTTTTCCCATCGATGTTTGAGGTTTTTCTCCTCCCTTAGATTATTAGTTATGTTTCCTGCTCTTCTTGTCTTTAGGTTTTATTCTTAGGTCATGTTAGTTTCCTCCCTGATTAGTAACTCAGTTCACCTGGTCGCTCTCTCCCCACACACCTGCAGTTCATCTCCCTCTCATCCTCCCCAATGTATAAAACCCTGTCTGTGTCTTAGTGTTTTGTTGGTCACTAGGTCTCTAGATTTTGTGCTCTTAAGTGAGCTTTCGTTCTCCAGGTTTTAAGGACATTGGGTTTTGGCTTCCTGCCCTTTAGGAAATTTTTGTTCTGCTTCCTAATAAAGAAAAGTTTTCATTTACATCTACTCCTGCCTCATGTCGTTCTGGGTGTCTGCATTTTGGGTCCAAACATCCTCCGAGCTCCCAACGCGACACTCTACTAACTAATAAAAAAAACTTATTCATTAAAATATATATAAATAAAATCCCCACTCTGTAGGAAAACCTGTTTTATTATCTTACAATGATTTATTATTATCAGCATAAAAAATTACTTTCTGTATAACACTTTAGATCTGATCATTTACAACAGTTTAAAACTATTTTAGCAATCAGAGTGATCACTAGTGTAACATTTGCATTTATCACAGATCATTGTTTGGACTGTAAAATAAAAAGTGTAATTTAAACCAGCGTTTTTACCCTGATCCTCTCTGTTCCACCCCCCATACCTAAAGCAATTTCTAAGTCATTTTTAGGCTGACTCCATCACTAGATAGCAGCTGGTGACCACTATAATGACTAAGACTGAAATTCAGTCAACCTGCACAGGAATCCTTAGAGCAGAACCAACAGCATCAGACTTTTGTCACAGATGTTTTATTTATGCATTTTTTAAATAAATATTGTTTCCACTTTTTTCATTAAGTTTAACCTTGTGTGTGTGTGTGTGTGTGTGTGTGTGTGTGTGTGTGTGTGTGTGTGTGTGTGTGTGTGTGTGTGTGTGTGTGTGTGTGTGTGTGTGTGTGTGTGTGTGTGTGTGTGTGTGTGTGTGTGTGGTTATTTGTTTGTTTCACAAAATGTCAGGAAAATGATCAAAACAAACTTTTTAGTTATTATAAAATATGAAAGTTGTCAGGTGTGCTATTGAGACCTTATGGAGCATGCTGCTGCAGACTGCCTCATCAAGTTAACGCAAAGCATGGCAACCTTAAAGTGTTTTTTAAATGACGTAAGGTTTCTTAGTTTGTCTGTCTGTCTGTCTGTCTGTCTGTTTGTTTGTTTGTTTGTTTGTTTGTTTGTTTGTTTGTTTTGCTGACTGTTGAAGATAATTCTCTTATCGTCTCAGGAGCTTTGGACTCATTTGAAAACTGCGAAGAAAAACTCACTTTGTACTTTTTAGATTTCACTGAAAATGCCTTTTGGATGAGAAGTAAAACATCAGGAAAAGTTTTTAAAAAATTAAGTCCAAAATCTTTTAAAATCACTTATTTGACAGAACTTGAGAACATGTGATCTTTAGAGCCAAAGAAGGCTCTTATTTCAGGATTCCTCGAGGATCAACCTCAGTTTGGCCTCATGCTGTTGAGAATGTAAGTTTCCAGATCAACATGAAACTCTACTTTGGCTTCACTTTTCATTACCGCTGCCTTTTTCCTCACCAATTCGGTCGAGGCGGTCGAGCGCCACAGCCTCAAACGCCCTCCTCATCATGGGATACTCCTCCAGCACCTCGTTGAAGTTGTCTACGGACAGCGAGTACAGCCGGCAGTAGTTATCTGCTCTCACGCTGGCCGTCCTCCTGCCTCGAGTCAGCAGGCAGATTTCTACAAGCAGAGGGGAAAATGAAAGTTCAGATGTTTGCTCCACATCTTTATCAGATTTCCTGCAGCGTCTAAGACAGGTATTAACAGCAGGGATTAAAAAGGGAGAGATCATTAATATGAAGCATTATATAATAATTTCCTCTTATGCAAGATGTGTGATGCACACACACTGAGTTCATGTTGTTTGAGATCCATTTACAAAAAGAAAAGTGACAAATAATCATATTATTGTGAGACGACAGAGACGGATGCTTCAGAAACCCACAGATGGTGCACTTAATGCAATTTCTGCAGCTTACAGTCAGTCCTGACCTCATCTGTCATGCCAGATCAGAAAAAATAAAACAATGCCCCATTAAATAAAAAAGAAACAGCAACACATTGAGCATTTTACTTCAAAAATACCAAAAACCTTTGTTCTTATTTTTCGGTGTGATTTTTACTAACCTAATGCAATAATTACATGAAACACGAGACTTGGTATATTTTCAATGCTCACTCATATTCCATGCATGAGGAACATTGTTTGAAAGTGCCATTGGCTCCATGTTAAAATTCACCTGAAATGAATGCTGCGGAGTCATATTTAGCAATATTTTACTACAACCTAAAAAAATCCATGTTACAGTAACATCTGATGATGTGTCCCTTTGCTGCACTGCTGCATGCAGAGATGATGCAACCGAGACAAAGACAAATGGAAAGTTCTGGATTTTAGCTTTAAACAAAGGGCAAAACTCCACAGATGGACTCAAAGATTGCAAAGCTTTCCTCTTAGTGCCCGAGCCCTTTTAAGGAGATGACGATTATAACCAGCTGCAGCCACCGGGGAGGGAAGTTAATCTGTTGAGTGCCCGCACAAACTAAATCAAAACAAATCTTTACAGTCACCACTCATTTGAATACATTGCAAAGCAAATCTAGTGCGTGCAGACTTCACCTCCAAAATAAGAGCCGTCTGTCAGCTTGGTGTCTTTGTTGCTCTTGGTGAGAACGCTGACCACACCATGCTGGATGAAGTACATCTTCTTGCCAATGGTGCCTTCCCTGATGATGTAGTCGCCCGGCTGGAAGACCTCGAAGCGCAGCTTGGTCAGCATGGAGGTGACAAAGTTGGGGTCTGCGTGGGCGAACAGGGGCATGGAGGCCACAAGTTTGCGACAATTAAAATTGATGATTTCCTGCAGGAGACGGAGAGAAAAGATATTATTATTTTTATTATTAGCAGAAATTAGGCCTTTGCAACATCCGTGCTGCTACGTGTGTACATTTCAATCATTATAAAAGCAGCTTAGAGCTTGGTTAATAAGGTTCTCTGCCCTCATACGGCCGTTGCTAATCAGATTACATGACTGTTAACATTATCATGGAAAGTAAGGCAGCCATATTGGATTATATTAATTTTTATCTCTGCATCAATTGGAACAAGGATGCTCTTAAACCTCAAATAAATAAAATGAGTCTGTCTTACTTAACCTTAAACCTGCATGATGACTTTTAGATTCATAAACAAATTATTATTGTAGAAAAGGAATTACAACCCGGGAACATGGGCAGCGTGGGGCAACTCTGACCTCTCTTAGAGGCTCATTCAGCTCCTCCAGGATGCTCTCCTCATCAAACATCTTCCCCTGATAACGGTGTTCGTAGTAGTCGTGAATCCTTTGCCGCATATCAGCGGGGAGCTTGTGGAAAGACATGTACTGCTCCACTTGTTTATACTGCAACAACAAGACAACAGGTGCTGTGAAAAGATCAAACCGATCAAATTTACATGCCGCTGAAGCAACCGCAAGATAAATGTAGCTGCTTTTGTCACAAAGGCAAAATGCAAAGTCATGTCAGAATGAATATATTAACCTGATTGATGTGCTGGCTCAGAGGTGGACTGTAATGTATCTCATTATGTTAACAGTCAACTGTCAGGCCATCTGTGAAACCTGCTCTCAGTGCAGCATGGTGGCTCGGCCCCATCTGACAATTACAGTCGCGCTCTGCAGGCTGCAGCTAATGACATTAACCACAGTGTCCTTCAGCAGTGTACTCTAGAAGCAGAGCACCGGGAGAGATCACAGTGCCTACTGGATGTATGGGATGTCCTGCCATAAGCATCTGCTTCAGTTTGATTAAATCTGACCCAGATCTGTCTCTTTTTATCTGTCAGAACCAGAGGCTCAAACATCAAATGGTGATTTGCTTTGTTCGTTTAGGGTGTTTCTGATTTGCTGAGGGTGCCTTTTTTGCCCTGCAGCTCACCTGATGTGCACTATGACCCTTTAAATCAGTTTTAAACAGGTGTAACATTAAAATATTGTTCCCAGCAAATCATTTGTGGACAAAATGCTTTCTGTGGTTTTAACCGGTCTATGGAAAATCTCTTTTAGCTCAGTAAAACTGGAGGAATATTCATAGTAAGTAATAATTATGTAGATCAAGATCTTACTGTAATGAAACAAAATATTCTAAAAACTAATGATCATTCAAATATACATCGAGAATCAGTGTTGAGGTGTAGCTTCAGATTTAACTTAACTACTTACTTGATCTACATTTCTATAATTATGCCCAAAAGATTTATAAATAAAGGAATCTCATATAAATATATATATATATATATATATATATATATATATATATATATATATATATATATATATATATATATAAATATAAAATGTTATAATGCTTATTACGTATTATAATACTTGACTTTTCATTCAGACATCAACATATTTTTGGGATATTTTTAATTTATAACACTTTATGTTTTGTTTATTTCAGGAAAGTTCTGTTCTTGTTTCAATAGGACTTTGGGACTAAAACCCTCATCAGGTAGTGGTCGATCTGTTAAGAAAAGTGTTGAAGCTTGCTTGAAGCTGATTAACACAAGTTTGGAAACCCCCACCTTTTCTTGGTACTGCCTCCTGGAGGAGTCCAGAGACTGGATGAGAGCAGTGGCGTGCCCCACAAACATGGCAAAGCAGGTAGCGCCCACAATCATGCTGAGGATGGTGAGCCAGACGTCACCCATGCCGATGGGGGGGTAGAGGCCGTAGCCGATGCACAGCATGTGACTCATGGCTTTGAAGAGGGCATAGGAGTACTGCTGACCCCAGGTGTCATTCTGAAGAGATGTAGAGGAGGAGAGATTATCTGTTTCCTGTCTGTGGGAGCTTTGTTGGCTCTTTATGCTCCGGTCGCAAACCACTGACTGTTTATTCATATCTAACACTCAAACATCCATTCCATGAGTCTTCTTTAGACTTTGTTCCACTTGTTAATGTGACGCGTATTTAAAATTAAAAAAGAAATCAACTTTTCTCTTCCTAACTATCACTTTTGAGAGATATTCAGGATCTTTTGAAGCAGGATTCTGTGGAAAGGTTATGGAGAATAAATATCTTACAGGATGTATAAAGCTTTTTGAGATTAATTCTGCCGAGACAGATGAGTTAAAACTGGCTGTCATCCTAAAAGCACTCTAATTAAAAAGTGTTCAAGCATGTGAAGGACTGTTCAAAGCTTTTTATAAACCTCATATATCCATTATGGCTGTAAGTGTTACAGACTCGTTTCTTATAGAAATAACTGTAGAATACTGTTTATACAGTCGTATTTGGCAACATTTATAGTAGTGTAAAAGTTATGGAATATTGCTATAACGTTCATTCTGTTTACTTTTCTTCTACATTTGTTTCTCATTTTTCTTTCAGAGCAACAGATGAAGGATTTTATTTACCTTTACATGTTTCAGCAGCATTTGTTGTCGAAACACGTAAATAAAAACCTTGATCTTTTATTCAGAAGGAAAATGAAAATTGTATTATCAAATATCATTTGGGTAAACCACAAAGACATTTTAGATGTTGGATTTGTTTTTTGTTTTTGTTTTGTTTTGTTTTGTTTTTTTGTAGCAGCAATGCACTTTAGAACTAGCTGTTAGCTCGTCAGTCTTGGCTGGTCAGAGAACGATCAGCAGGTAAACATTAACAGTTCATATCATGTCAACAAAACTCAACTCAAAACATCTAAACTAGCATTTCAATGTATGGCATGAAGGTGCATTAATAATAATTTATCTTCTAAAGTCATGTATTATCTATTACATCAATAAAACCAAGGATCAGCTTCATAATTACAATGAATAAAACTGTGATCTGATGACTCTGTTGTTACACAATATGCACAAATTAATAATGCTCTCAGAGCCATTGTGAAATTTTTACAAGAACACGTTGGCATCTCACAAATTAATCTGCTTACCACCATCTTGTTTCTAGTGACCCAGCAGTCAGGAGGGAAGTCTTGCAGCATGGGCACCAGGAACTGCAGACAGCCGTCCCAGTGACACAGCAGCAGCATCATGCCAATCAGGTTCATGATCCGCACCATGGCGCTGGCAAGATCATACGTCATGTGGAAAACCTACAGCAGTGATTGTTGGCAGGGAAAATGCAGAAACAACAATGATGTCACAACTTCAGCAGCCTGGGGATTCAAAATGTACATTAGGTGTACAAAAGGTTTCTGGTGAGACAATAGGTGGATTTATAGAAATAAGTTAATTTGTGTCAAAGAAGTAAACTAAATATTTTTGTTGTTAAAAATGGGAAGTCTCAGACTTTAAGACAACGAAACCCATATGTTCAAAATTGTTCTGGAAAGAATGTTGTAAATGTATCAATGCTACACCTAAAAAAATCTAAAAACATGACGCTTTTGAAAGATATAAACAAAAATGTTGATTATTTTCTGATTTTTTTAGAGAAATTGTGAGCATTTGTTTACATTTTCAACCAATCAGATCATCAGAAACTGTTTAAGTGCAATAAAAATCTCATATAGGCCCTAAAGTGAGCATCTTCCTCTACCTCTTCCCACTGGTGGATGTAGCGGATGAGTCTGGAGAGACGGAGCAGCCTCAGCAGACTGAGGATCTTTGTGAAGCGGACGATCCTCAGCGCTCGAGCCGTTTTATAAAAGTCTGAGTCGATCCGAGTCTCTACGATGAGAAAGATGTAGTCCACCGGTATGGAGGAGACAAAGTCCACCACAAACCAGCTCTTCAGGTACTTGACCTTGATCTGATGTGGGTCCAGGATGATCTCTGTGTTGTCCTCCTTGACGATCCCCGTTCGGAAGTTGAGGACAAGATCCAGGAGGAAGAAAGTGTCTGACACGACATTGAAGACGATCCAGGGTGGCGTGTGCTCATCCTTGAAGAAGGTGATCCCCACGGGGATGATGATGAGGTTTCCCACCATCAGAAGCAGCATGGTCAGGTCCCAGTAGAACCTGAAACGCAGACAGGAGATGAGACATGAGGCAAAAGCAGGAAACAATGTCATTGCATGAGACACTTTACAGTCACAATGTTATTCAGCTAGCAAGAACATGAAAGATTGATTATGTTTGATTTAAGAAATTCAACACTTAAGGAACAATCTGCATCTGGATCATTTAAATATGCAACGCAAATATTAGTCATGAATACTAAGAGATCCTTCTCAAATTTAGTAAAACTTAAATTGTTTCTTATTTTCTTTGAATGAGTTTGTTTGATCTGTCAAACTCTACCATGTCAGCAGCATTTGGCTGTAAGATTTACACTAACATCGGGACTATAGATGTCGATAAATAACAAAGAAACATGCAAATAAGAACAGTTTTATGCAAGTGCAGTCTAGGATATTATAGTATAAAATCATTACAATAAAGAATTGCTTCTCTCATTTTTTAAGGTGTTTTAAATAAGATTAAATGAGAAAAAGAGGGCCCTGCTGGGGTTTACCTCAAGAGATAATGTCATAGCACCTGGTCAGAAACACCTTGTTTCTGTCGTTGTGATTACTGTGTGAAATGACCACAAATCTGCATGATTCTTGAAATGTTTCCTAACAAAAACATTTTTATAGATATGCATGCCAGTCCGCGTTTTCTTTAAAGCTTGCATGCCCTTAACAACAAAGTCCTTAATGAAAAAAAGCGATGTGCCATTTGGCGATGATGTTCAACAGATTATTTCTCGTTTAAAAGTGAAGCTTAGTCTGAACGCTGCTTCCAGACAGAACCCGGCCAGGTTACCCAACATTGTTGTGTGGGTGCAAAAAGATTTTAGGTCATTCTGAACAAGTGGTGATAAAAAATAGTAATTAATTTGTTTGCAGCTCTCGCATTCATACTCAGAATCCATCAGAACAAGGTCCAAATGAGCAGAAACAATGAAAATTAATCGAGTCGGCGTTTAACCGAGCAAGATAAAAATAAAATATAACTCACATAACTCAGCGCGGGGGTTTTGACCAAATGGGCAAAGAGGCATAAACAGCTACATTTATTTGAGCGGTTTCCAGTCATTTCATGTGATTTAATATAAACTCTAAATTATCAATTCACTGAAATACAATCAGAGACCATCAGCTGCTCTCTTTACAACATCCATCCATGCTATCGACAACTTAAATGTGGCAAAATGCTTGTTTATCCAGCCTCATTCTGCATTCACCCAAGCTGAGTGCAGTTACATGTCTGGTCAATTTCTGAGCCCTAATTAACCTCTAACTGATTCAGCGGGATCCTGGCACACCTACAGGGTCAGCACAAAACCACAGCAGGAGGAGACAGGCCTACGACGGGGGGATGCAGGCATCATGTCAAAATAGTCGTGGACTGTTAAACACACTCGAAATCTGAGAAAAAAATCATGCTAATCAGGGATAATGAAATAAAAGCTCAAAGTCTCACTGAGTTATTGATCGTAGGCTGGACTAGAGACACAAACAAAGGTTAAAGGTCACAGACATGGGACCCCGAAAGCATCCGCTTCCTTCTACTAAAACAAAGGAGGCTCGGCTGTAAATTGATGCTTAGCCTGAAAGACGCGAACAGTTTACAGCAAACTGATTCAATGATATAGTAACAGGAAGCAGTCGTCATAAACATAAATGTTGCTGTGCAACTAGAAGAAGATGCTTCACATGTTTTGACAGAACAGAGAAGATTTCACACTTCCCAGTAAAGAAGTTAGAACCAGAGCAGGATCAGCAGATAGAGTTAACTCCTTTGTGTAAAAGCCCAATAGCGACAGCTTAGCAATGGTCCAGCTTGAATCCCTGAGCTTCTGATCAGTAACAAAGATCCTCGGTCTTTAAGTCTCCATCCAGACTAGACGACAGTTCAGATCTACCTGATGTGGTTACTCAACCTTTAAACATCATGGAGTGGGAAAGCAGCAGGAGCAGGGTGACCATTTGTTCTAATCAGCTTTCTGTTGTTCTCTGCCAAACAAAGCATTCCCATTTCTCTCCACATCTGCCCGTTGCCTCTGCGCACTGACACACTGGTCCTAATTGCACATCCCCTCTCCAGCTAAATCCACCGTTATCTCCTGGGAATCCATGTCATCTCCAGAAGTCAGCTCCCATCAGCCAGATGTTAAGTAGTTAGCATTACAGCTCTGCACACGTCACCAGTGCTGTGGAACACTGGAACAGCTGGATGGGGGGAAAAAATTAATACATTTTGAAAAAGAAAAAAAGAGGATGAGAAAGGCGTGGATGGGGCAGTGTGTTCTACTGCCGTGCTCTGCAGACCATCCAGTCGGTGCATCCAACCAGCAGCCTGCTGAGATGGGAAAAAAATGTTTTTAAACATTTAAAAAAATCATTGCAGGACCTGAACCGGTGAGGATAAGGGAGCACATTTGGGGTCAGAGTGTGACCAAGTTAAGACAAAGTCATGGGAGTTAGCAGTAAAGTGAACACAACAAGGCTTAAAATGGTGAAAGGAGCTTAGATCAATCAGGACAACTGAAAAAAGGATCACATTTGTACCACAGATATTATCTCTTGCTGCCAGAGAGCAGCTGAAGCGTAACAGCCTGCATGCAGCTCAGTGGCTTAACACACACCTGTACTGAGGCTCAGGCCCACCAGCAATCATTTTAACCATATTTACACAGTGTGCCAGTTCAGTTTGTCTGTTCCTGTGTTGTCAGAAAGCTTTCATACCAGGCAGCAGTTACTGGATGAGCAAGAGCTACAAGGAGGACATGCGTGTGTTACAATGTGCTGGGGTACGCATCATGAAGCCGAGATCTGCAGGATGCATTTTGTCCGTGCATGCAGAGACAAAAATCATACAAACAAAAAATGTCCCGAATAATCTTTAAAAAGAGGATCTGCATGAAAGCATTCATCCTGAGAGCCTAAAACCCTGCCCCCTGCTCAAAGTATGACCCAGACCCAGCACGAAGCGATGGCACCTCATACCTCTAGTGTTCAGAGCTAACAGCTGGACGCCCTGATTCCCCACAACATCATTTTCATTTCAATCTCTCTGTTTCCTCTGTATGTTCTCTCTCTCTCTCTCTCTCTCTCTCTCTCTCTCTCTCTCTCTCTCTCTCTCTCTCTCTCTCTCTCTCTCTCTCTCTCTCTCTCTCTCTCTCTCTCTCTCTCTCTCCTCCATCCCTCTGTCTGTGTTTTCTGGTGTATCCCCTCCCCGTCCACACTGCCTTTGCTCCATTAGACTAATTGTGCTGTAATAATCTCCACTGATGTGTGCTTCTAATATCTTGAATGGTCATGCTACCCTATTTTGATTACCCCATTTTCCAACCCAGCCACAACCTCCGTAATCCACTGCCCTCTGTTAAAATCCTTTAAAAAAGTGCAATTCAGATGAGTGGAAAAAAAAACTGCGATGGCACACATGATGACAGTGAGCCTCAAGGTTATATGTCATGAAAATACCCTCTCTGATACACATCCGGCCTCTGGTTCAGTAAGGGAGGTAAATTAGGGATTAGTGACTTTAGAGGGGATAATGAATGCATATAAACTGATGAGGGGCGGGATGAGCTGTGTTTAGATAGCTTTATGCTCTTTTTCTGAATAAAATCCTCTACATGCACACCCACACATCTCCAAGAGAAACAAAACACGGGTTTCCTCCTTGTTTTAAAAGCATGATAACAGCTGGACTGTTAGAGGATTTTGCATGCTACTGAATTATTGTATGTTTACCTGCAATAAAGACGTGCATGTGCAATCTTTAAATAAATTATACTGAGAAAGCATGTTTGGGCTATGGAGCATATTCTGCATATGGTTGTGATCATCATGTACCTTGAAACAATCTCACGGTAGGCTGATTCTTAAGATCATCCACTCCCTCCTTTAGAAGTACTGATTGTAGTTAAATATTAAAATGGCAGCTAGATTTTGTAAGTTGTAGCTCCTTTAACCATGAAAACTGGGTGTGAAATGTGTTGAGAAAATTATTAACATCAAATCTAAATATGGTGGGTTACATCTCAACATTTAGAATCAAAGCTGAACGTGTAAAGTAACATTTTGATGTTGACATTTAAGTGATTCTAATTTTCTGTAGCTAATCCAGATTGCCATAAAACATATGTAGCCTACCACAATAAAAGTTGGGTCAGGAGATCTCCTATGCTCAGAGTCTATTTGTTAGTGAGATTGTACGAAACACTGATCTTTTGTCAGCACATTAATAAATGATTGGGGTTAAAGACTCACAATTCTACAAAAAACATTGGACTGGGGATCTCTTACTACTGCTTTTATTGTGGTAGGACACTTCCGTTTAATGGTAGTTTAAATAAATGTTTAAGTAAATATTTACTTTGCCTATATCTAAATGTTTTAAAATCTACTTAAGTAATTTAAACAGCATGGATTGAACTGTGTTGATTCTAAATATTCATGTAAAACTTTATTGTTATTTCTAGTTAAAACGTTTATTTTGAACGCATCAATGTGCACGACGGACTGCAGACCAAATAAGTGGGGAAATGATCGCTGCAACGCCACCTCCAGAGACACCACCGTTCATTAAAGCAGCTTTAGTGCAGCTAAATTATACCTAAAATCACTGTAGGGGTGGATTATCCAGAAGCCTGCAGACTTTACGCGCTCCCTCTCATGCTCCACGGCCCTCTCACTGCCCAGCATCCGCAGGGAAAACTTGTTGACTCCCGGTTGGAGCATTGCCCCAAATTGCCGGTGCATGAAGCCCGCCTGGTACAGCCGCTCATCTTCAGGGATTATTTGCTCCGTTCCTTCCAACTTGATAAAAGTTGGCTGATCGAACACGGACGGCTGCCCGGGAATGCCGAGCAGCCCTCTGGCTATCCGCTGCTGGGCCCCGGGGCCGTGCTCCCCGGGTAAACTCTCATAGGCACCGGCGTCGGTCTCAGGGAGGAGGCGCCGCTGCTCCGCGGGATTAGACCCGGGAGGTTGCCGTCCGGTGATGGAAGAGATGCTGCTTCTGAAAAAGCGGCAGTCTCCGTTCAAGTTGGTCTTGACGGTAACGTCCCTGTCCAAGTCTCCGCTCCTGGCCTCTTCAATGCTCCTGCAACTGCTCGCCGGAGACAGAGAGGACAATTGTTTTAGTCGAATACTTTTCCGTTTGGTGTCCTTGTCGCCGCTGTCTCCTTCACTGTCTGTGTTTTTTTGCACAATGTTTTGCGGCAAGCTGTACAGCCGTTTGCGCATGGAAGACTGGAATTTCTCCATGTTGGTGAGAGGTGCGCTCTAAAGACAGCCTGTGAAAACACAACATGGATCAGTCATGGATCTCACACAGTTAGGATGCTGATGGAGGCGAAACGGGGACGGCGCATCCGCAGGATGGCTCGTTTCTTATCTGACACTTGGGACGTGCCGCTCTCCTTCGGTCCAAACACATTGAAATGAGTCAACAGTGTGCAGCCGCTTCAGTCGGAGATATTTGTACCAAATAAATAAATAAATGAAGAAAAAGAAGAGGCGAATGCGTGTAAATCCAGGTAAGCTGAGTGAGTGCAGCGGGGAGCGCATCAGGATGCAGCGTGCTCAGCGTCGGACGTGCCGGAGTGAGAGAGAACACTGCTGCTGATGCTGAGCTCCTCAATGACAAAGCATCATCCCCGCCTCCCCCGAATCACGCGCGCGCACAAACACACACACACACACGAAGCGCTGACATCACTGATCCTCTCGCTTTCTAATAACGTGATTATTGATGGAGCTGATCTATCAGGTTGCCATGGGAGCCGGGATGCGCGCATCACACAGGACAGCAACCAGCAGGACGGGATGATTCAAGAAGGACAGTTTAGTTGAACAGAACATGTGACACCCCAATAAACTGATGAGCCAGAGGAGAAAAACGTCAAAGTTTAGAAATTGTTCCATCCATCCATCCATCCACTTATCCTTGTAGGGAGAGGGTTGCCTATCTCCAGCAGCAGGCACACCCTGGACAGATTGCCAGTCCATTGCAGAGAAATAGTTCTAATGAATCTGAATTTCCATTTTTGCATTTGGATTTTAAACGTTCAAACTGAAATTATAAGTAAGTTAGAAAGTCTTTTGTAAAGACTTTCTTCTCTGCATTTGTGGCATTGTATTGTCCTGAAAAGTAATCAGTGGAACAGATTCATCTGAATTTTGTGAGCATAGCTGGTGTTATTCAAATGTAATTTTTTTTCAAATGCTTTCTTAAAATATGAAAACAAACAGAATGTGACTAAATAAAGCTGCCAAATTCTGACATCTGACCAGCGGAGAGTAGAGCCAAACTGATCCAGAATACCTCTGCATGCATCACATATTAGTGTTGCTGTGGACAAAAGTTTATGAATCAATTTTCTTCAGAAGCAAATAAGTAAGAGATATCTGTGCATTGATCACTTGCATTTTTATGATGTTCCTGGTGTTGTGTTTTTAACTTTCACCAAATATTGATAACAAATGTTAATGCATAATCTCTCTGTGAAGTTTGCTTGTACTGTGGTGCACTGACATGTTTAAGAAATAGTAAGATTTGTTTTAACCTTACCTGACATCTGAGAGATTAGTCCATGCAAGCACAACTCATTTTTTCCAGAAGTTGTGTTTATTTCTTCCAGCTGTTAATTGTTTAAAGTTTCACAGAGTCACAGATGTCCCTTTGCTCCAGAGTCAGACTGCTTTTATCTGAATCCTCCTAACAAATGAATCCATGACCTGGTAAAAAAAATAAACTAAAACACTGCAAATAAGGCGCAGACAAATATTATTAATAAAAAGGACTGAACACCTCAAAATATTGCATAGTGTCCGGCTAAAAGACACACACAGAGAGACGCCAGGTCTGGACTCTGCTGCTGAATCCTGGGACGTAATGTGAGTCCTACCCACCAACCAGCCAACCTACTTATCTACCTACTTAACAACCAACCTACCTACTGACCAACTGACCTACCTGCCAACCAACTTACCTACCTACCTACCTACCTACCTACCTACCTATACCTACCTACCTACCTGACGACCGGCCTACCTACCTACCTATACCTACCTACCTACCTGACGACCGGCCTACCTACCTACCTACCTACATACCTACCTACCGAATTACTTACTTTTTACTCACCAATCTACCTACCTACCTACTTACTTACCTACATACCTGCCTACCTACCTAAAAAGGCATCTTAAAACCATCCTATAATGTTAAACTACAGTGCTGTAATAGCATAGTTGCCCCTTATGGACTGTTTAACGTTTTTGCCTTTTAAAAACAATCAGATCAGATCCAAAACATCCGTTACGTCTGGCATGAAACTGACAACGCTTTTCAGATGAAATGACATAATACCAGTGAAACACGGTGGTGCTAGTGTGATGGTATGAGCCTGCTTTGCTGCTTGACGACCTGGACAGAAACATGAATTCTGCCAGAAAAATGTCCGACCCTTGACCTTAAAAATAAATTCTTGCTGGAAAACACTCCAATATGGCTGCATTAAAGACATCTCTTAAGGGGGGGGGGATTCATTAGAAGTTATCACAAACACTTCAGGGCAGGTTTGTAGGTGTGGGAGCCCTCCATTTTTCTTTTTTGTCCAGTTGTGGCTGGTTGGCTCAGCCCTGCCCATTGTCAGCTGATGGTTCACACCTGCACGTCAACATCTTATCAACCCTGCAGTAGATATTCTGGCCATTTTTTTCTTTGCTGCCTAACTGTGGGACTGTTTTTCTTTTTTGTTTGTTTGTTTTTTTTGCTTTTTCTCTTATAAACTAAACTTTGAACTAGAGTAATGTTTTCCTTCTTTGTTCCCAGACTGATCTGATGAAGAGAGTTTTTAGGATTCGACATCCCCACCCCTACTTTTTTACTCTGCTCTGTCACTCACCTGTGCATCTCCATCGGCTCCTTGGTTACCTGGAACCCTGCAGTCCTCCAAAAAACCTGCAGAGAATACGTGAGCTCAGTATAGGCTGAACTTGCTCTGGACAAGTACACAGCCTGGCAGAACGCTCCTCATTGACCCGGGTTGTCATGAACAGAACCCCAAAGAAAACGGCTGGATAATCTTTGTGAATTTCACCTTCTGCTGCAGTGATGAAATCTCCTTATCTTTTGGCTTTTCCTTTCAGCAGTCACTACAGCAAATTCCTTGTCTCCGTTTAGTCTTCTTAGCAACAATAATTAAATCTATAAACACAAAAATAGGAATATCCCTAAAATGAAGAATTATCTGTTGAGCATACTGCAGAGCTTTAGAATTTGGCCCATGTCCTTTTGTGAGGACAAACAAGTCAGAATATTCAATGTCAGGAAGAGGAAAAGTTGTAATTGGCACTGAATGTGCTATTTCTTTGAAATTAGTAAATAAAAGTTGCACGTAGCTTACCTTCACTACCAGATAGAACATAGTGAATCTGGACATCCCTAGAAGAAAACATGTCAAATACCCTAAAAAAAAGGCGAGGCAGGGCTGCATTATTTATATAGCACATTTCATACACTGAGGCAATTCAATGTGCTTTCCATTAGCAAGAAAAGCAAGAATATTAAAATCAACATGACAGAAAATACTATTTAAAAATAAATAAATGAATAAATAAATAATACAATTTGAAAATTAAAAAGAAACCAAGTTAAAGTTAAAGGGTGAGCAAATACAGAGCAGAAGGTGCAGCATAACAACATTTATTCAAAGGCTGATGAAAACATGAAGGTTTTCAGTTTTGATTTAAAAGTTAGAGTTGGGCACGTTCGAGGTCATAAGGACACTGATTCCATCTGTGTGCAGCATAGTAGCTAAAAGCAGCTTCACTCTGTTTGGTTCTGACCTGGGGTTCTACCAGCTGACTGCTTCCTAAGGTTCTGAGAGCTCTACTGGGCGTATATACCTGAAGGTCACACATATTTTGATGGACCATCTTTAACTTTGATTATCGCACACATTCGATGTGGCATTGTTTCGATAAGAATATTAAATGTCGCAAGATTTATTTCCATCCAGTGTTGCATTAATGTTTCACCAAGATCTTGCACTGATGATGGTAGAGTCTGGCCGCTGCACAAAGCCTTCTCCAGCACATCCCAAAGACTCTCAACGGGGTTAAGGTCTGGACTCTGTGGTGACCAATCCAGGTGTGAAAATGATGTCTCATGCTCTCACTCTTTCATTATTTGAGCCCGATGAATCCTGGGATTGTCTTGGAATATGCCCATGCCACCTGGGAAGATGGAATAATCTGGCCATTCAGTATATTCAGGTAGTCATGGGCTGCATGGTGGCACAGTGGTTAGCACTGTTGCCTCGCAACACGAAGGTCACAGGATCGAAACTCGGCTGTGGCCTTTCTGCGTGGAGTTGCGTGTTCTCATCATGCATGTGTGGGTTTTCTCCGGGTACTCCGGTTTCCCCCACAGATCACAACATGCCCTATAGGTTAAAAAAAAAGTAAGTCGCTTTGGGTAAAAGCGTCTGCTAAGCACATAAACATAGTCAGCTGACCTCACTCTTGGAGCACATCCTGTTGCTGAACCTAGACCTGACCCACTGCAGCAACCCCAGGTCATAGCACTGCCCCCACAGGCTTGTAGGCACTAGGCATGATGTGTGCACCTCTTCATCTGCCTCTCTTCTTACCCTGATGCACCATCACTCTAGAGCAGGGTCCATCTGGACTCATCAGACCAGTTTTTAATAGTGCGTTGGACCGTTCCTAACCCCGTTTTATTCGTTTCTGCAATCTCCTTTGATGTTTTCTCTGCTTGATGCATACCTATGATATGATCATCCTCCAACAGAATAACATCTTTTCCACAACCACCAGATGTGTCTTTCCACATGGTTGTTTAAGAAATGAGAAGAACTCATTGCACCAGTTGGGGTTAAATAACTTGTTGCTGGCTGATCCAATAGGAGGTTCTTACCTACTTATATGCTTAGTTAAATCCAGGTAGTGACCTTTTCTTTGGCCAGGCAGTGTATTTTTACAAACGGGTTTCAGGCTAAAACTAATAGTAAAACAATGGAAACTCATTTATACCCACTATTTTGTGGCACTGCCCTGCTTATTCCCCTCACAGGGGGCCCTCCCTAAATAATTTTTTCTTTCTTTGATTCTTATTTAAATGATGAAAAAATCAGTAGAAAGTAACCCAAGCATCTGTTAGAGGAGCTGTTTGGTTATCTACATTTTATGAATGGGAAATCAGATTTCAATTTTTAAGTTGTCAGTCTTTAACTGTGGCAAACAGATTAAGACTGATAAACAGGAAAATAATAGTTCCTCATTTTTTTTATATTTCACATAAGAATGAGGTTTTTAAAAGAAATAACAAACATGATAAGTGAATCAAGAGTGAATTCAATGCAAGAAAGAACTTGTTCGTATGATTGAGATTACTGCTTTTATCTTGGTACGGTATTGATTATTTTATGCTTTTCTACAAATTTCTTTGACAAAATTTGCCTTTTTTTACTCTCTGGAGGGAAACAGTGTCTTTAATATTCTGATTTTTGCAGCCAAAACAGCACAATAATAAAATTACCCGTATATAATGTAGATGCGTAATCTTTTTTATTCATATAAAAGCAAGGCTCTTGTAATTCTCACTTAATCCCACCAGATGACGCTGTTCTCCGCATTTCCTCCTCAGGATCATCCTACAATCCTCTTGGAAGTTTGCATGTAGTAGTGAGCTTAATGGAAGAAACCAACACAACAGACACAAGATTCAGGGTTTTATTTTCCTTCAGATTTTTATTTTTAAAAATGATTGTGACCTTGGAGTTTCTTCACGTTTCAGCTCTGACGTGGGTTTTTCTTATACACACATACACATACACACACCTCCCTCCGCCCACGTCACTTGACCCAAACTCATGCAGGTGTGTGTTATATACCATCAATGCTCTACGGTGAACATACTAGTTTAAAGCTTTTTCACAGAAAATCAGAAGCTGCAATGTCTTTCAATATATTGATATGGATAATAATTGCATAGGATAATAGCCATGCTGTACAATACACATACTTACAAAATAAAACATTCAAATGTTTAATAGAGTTTCTCAAAGCATTTTATAAACTTGTTTCATTTTTTCTCAACATTTAAATGCATCATATAATATGGATAAAAATACTGGCGATCTGATATTTATTTATAGTGTTGTAATACATACATTACATACATAAAGTAAATCTTAACCAATTTTAGAGGGACACTGCAAAGCCCTTAAATGTGATAAATATATTTATATAGATAGTCAGATAAAATGAATGACAGGTTTACACAGGAATAATAAAACTGTACACATCTGTCACACCACATTGTCTTTTTCTTTTCCACTGCAGTTTAGTTTTTCACAGTACAGAGTTTCTACATGAAGCCACCCTCAAGAGAAAAAAGTATTTCTTTATCAAACAGAAAGTCAACATTTTGCATGCATTATCTTAGAAGTAGTAAAATTAGAAATATTAATGATGAAGAATAATAAAATAAAACCTAAAATGTCAACAATCGCATGCAGCAACAATGTTTAGAATGTCAACTCTGGAACTTTTGTGTCACACACCCTCCTGACGTGAAAGATAAGGCATGCCTCACTGAACCCTCCCAACTCACAATCATGTGTTTAATGGCAAATACATCCTTTACACTGGGATGGAGTCGCTTCTAGTTTACCTTCATGTGGTCAATATGTGGTCAATGAGATCTGCAAAAATAGAAAATACAGATTGTTACTCAAATTGTACAACATTGTGATTTCTGGTGTAATTTTATAGGTTGTGTTTGTGGCCACGATGATGCATACTAACTCAGTGGACAGCCTCCTCAGTTGGTATTCCTCTGGCGGAGGTTCTTGTCTTTGTGGTTGTTGGTTGAATTGGTTTTCCTAACCAGGAAGTAGACAACACAGTCACTTTTTTAGTTGAAGTGAATGATAACTAAATGTGTATTTTTGAGAATTAGCTTGTAATAATTTAGTTTTAAGGGAGACATATGCCTTTTTTCTGAAGTTATAATAGTTCTATGGTCAAAACAAAACTTGTTTATAAAGGTCTATGCGTTAAGTCCCTCTCACATGAAGCTATTTCAGTATATTCATTTTTGACAATTACCTTCCAGACACTTTCTGACACTGTTATAACGAATATGCAAACAATCTAGGTTTTGACCGCAAACACGGTCGCAAAGAACTCACCCCTCCCCTCTGTATCTTCCCCGAGACGCTTCTGCCTGAACTGGAAACTTGCGATGCCAGACAGAACGACATAGTGCTAAACACCATATTTCTACGTCCAAACTTCTTTTGTTGTCCTTGACTTCAAAATATGTTTTTTTCTTTTTGGGACTATGGTCTTAAAGTTGAAGGGGTAGAAGTCGGCTGTTTCTCCTTCTCTGATATGATTGAGCCACGAGCCTCGTACACTATTAGTGTTCTGTTGCTAAATACTCGAGTGCATAATGAATGGAGGACTCAGGCAAGTGCAGCGATTCAGCAAGACCGACAACCGAATGGTCCAATGGTTGATTTTGGTCTGAAATGTGTTATTGGTGGAGGTTTTTAGACTAATGCAAGAGAACCACTCGATTATTTATTTTTTGTTTTTTCATCTCCACAATATATTTATAGCTACTATGTTACAACATTGTTAAGACGCATGAAAACATAATTTTAAGCTAATTTGTTTTCCAACTTTGTCATTGCGGCTTTAACCAATTCCTTAAAAAGTGGGGTTCAGTGATTGTGTTGGTAGAAACTTTAACACAGCTTTTAAAACTTTAACCCTCTGGAGGCAGGCGTTGCAGATTTGCAACGTTAAAACCTACCTACCTGGTTACTCCACATACATATTTCATGAGCATTTTTTAAATGGCCTGTAAATGGTAAATGGTCTGTAGTTGATATATTAACTCAGAAGTACCTGTGAAGAACTTAGTTGTTCGTCCTTTTATCAAAACTTATTTTGAGCCTGAGAGGGTTAACAGTTTTGTGGAGCAGGTAGTTGTCCTAGGGAATGCTCTTTACCTGCTTAACGGCTGTTAGCTATTTTCTGTGCCGGTAGCTAATAAAAGACTAGCAAATAGCTGTTCAGTTGTTTGCCGACCGTCAAAATACACAAGAAGAAAAAAAAGTTTGCTTTTTTGTTGGCAACCAAAGTGAAAGTTGGCACAGCCCACACGCTTTAGAATAGGCTAAAGGAGGCTATGAAATCACAGGCCGATGCTGGGTAACCTGGCTTTGTTGCTACTGGACTTGTAGCATTGACTTGTAAGTTATATTTTTTGTCCAAATGTGTGGCCTATTTAAAAAGACTTGGCTAATGTTAGTTTTAGCTTGCTGTTAGCGCTAGCTACAGCGGGCTGCTGCATGTTTTTTTTAATGACCTTGTTTATATACCTTGCTCAGGCTGCTATAAGCTGAGAGGCTCTGATATTCAGGAGGGGCTCAAAGTATAGTAACGTATCCTCCAGCAGCAGCTTCTCTTCTCCAGTTGAGAGGTGGTCAAAATTTTCACAAGGTTCATTGTTTTAATTCCTAAAACTTTTTTTCACATTTGAGGTGTTTGTAGAGGCAGTAAAAAGACATGGCAGCACAAAATGATGCTAAATGTTATATTTGAATAATATGTCTCCTTTAAAACCAAAACCTTTCATTTAAAGCAAAGATGTTGTAGCTTGACCTTAACATTTCTCCCTAAATCATTTAAGATCTGACCATCAATCATACTCCAGCATGATGCTCAACAGCTTTTGTTAATTTGGGAACCTCTTCTCTGTGAGCTTTTAATAGTACACATACTGGGATAATCCACGACACAAACATAAAGTCACCAAGCTAAGCAGAGAAAAGGTTATGTAAAGTTTGTACTTACGCCGGCCCAGCTAGGTCGTCATCTGTGGTAAAGGAGAAAGGTATGAAGAAATGACAACCAGAAAATAATTCAAAAAAGATGCTGCACACAGTAACATGTATTTAGTACATTTGGCCTTAAGAACTCCCATTAGAGATGCACCGATTGTTGTTTTCTAGGTCTGTTCACATTTCAGGTTTTTTTTGTGAAGCTTTGGGTGAATCTGATGAAATTTAACTTTAAAATATAAAAGCATTTGAAATAATTGTTTCCATTTTTTAATAAACTGAATATTTGTTTGCAATGAAGCATTTGAAATAAAAATGATAACATTGGCTTGGCTGTTGTTGCCTGTTTAGTGGAAGCATTATTTTTATTTATTTATAGAGCCCATTTCAAACAAAGAGGCAATTCAATGTGCAGTGGAAATCCTAAATAAACTCCTGCAGGTTACCAGACAGAAGTAGGAACCCTCTGTATAAAAATAAAACCCAAACATCAGCTTTTTTTTTTCAAAGAGAAAAATATAACTGTGTTTTTTAATGTATTTGTATCGTTATTTTAATCATTTCTATTTTAACTTGTGCACATTTTCTTTACTTGTTTCATGTAGAAGATTTTTTAATAATTGAGATTTTTTTCAGCCGTCTCATCAATATAAATTTCATTTCTTAGCAAAAATAGATTTATTTGATTTTGTTTTGTCACCATATAAAATTATGAGCGCTAATGCAACTGGAATTTTGATTTTCATTTTTTTAATGGGGACATTTTTTATGTTTGTGTGCATTTATGCAGAGCTCACCTTCTCATCAGACACACGTGAATGACATTTTAATTAGCTTATTTTTCTATGATGATCGTAAATGACTTAACACTGTGGAATATTTATTGGAAAAATATTTTTCTTATCAAGTGTATAGTTACACCTGCTGGTTTACCTCATGTGCATAAACAAACCTGTTCCTTAGGAGCCTGTGCAGTTTTTATTAGTTCCTGGAGGGGGAAAAAACAACTTAATGACATCTCTCCCAAATATTTATTCATTTATTTAATTATTTATTAGATGTATTCATCATCATCCATCAGGTCATTCTCTGACAATATTGATAATTATTGATCGTTTAAATTGTAAAAGTGCATCACTGGCATATTATTCTGAACTCGTATTTATTTTAAAGGTTTCTTGTATCAGATTGTGTTTACACTAATTATTTTTATTTCACTGCTGAGGTGCAGCATAGAGAGCACCAGGTCCCAACGACCCTTCACACAAAAAACCCTTTATAGAGGGTAAATGAATGAATGAGAGTCAAATTTTGCTAATCTCTGATAATACCCGTCAGTCCGAAACGCAGCCTATTACCCACACCTGTAAAACAATCGGTGCACCGCTAATTATAATGCTTTATGACATATCTGCAGAGTAAAAGCACAGCCTGGAAAATATTAAAAACATTAAACAAGAGATTGTCATGCTGAAGAAATATGCCTGACATTTAAACACCACATTTTGAAGGCATGAGTAGGTGAGACCGATGACACACAAGCAAAATCCTAACTTCAAATACTGTTGTCATGCACAGACAAGCAGTGCTCACAAAGAACATCTGTTCACTCAGAGATTAGTGAGAAGCAGCTCCATCAGTATCAGCGTTCTGCTGTAATAATGCACTGAAGCAGTGAGAAACAAGAGGCAGCAGAAATGATTGATAAACACGAACAATCCACGCGTCATTAATGCGACTTGCTGCTGCAGCATGAACTCTAATGCATGGTTATGCAAACCGGAAATGTTCGTCTGCACTTGGCTGATGTTGAAGGCAGGGGTAGCTCAACAGAACTGTTTAGCCGAGCCGTGAACTGGAGAAGGAATGAGGCTGAATGAGCATAAATCGAAACCAGGCAGCATGCAAACATCTCACACTTACCACAAACACGGTTTAGGTTATGCATTTTGAAAAAAAAAGGAGGGGAGATATTACAACAACCTGTTAAACCGTTCAACTGCCGAACAAACTCAGTTAAACTAAATCTGCTGTGTGACTCCTGACTGACTGGTCTGAGCTGTTCGCTATTCACAAAGTGTTGCATCTGATCAGCATGTGGCAAAATTCTGAATTCTGTTTGTGCAGAAAAGGTCGCCCAAATATCATTAATGCATAATTCAGGATACACCTCTAACCCAAAAACAAAGAGCTCTGCTGTGTTAGAAGAATCAGAACGACTAAATGACAAGATTCCTGGTTAGGTTTGGAAAGGCTTATGAACAACATCCTTAGGAATCCATTAATAATTAAAAGTGTCCACCTTTCCAAGACTACAGGGTCGTATTTCTCATGAATATTAAATGAATGAAATTGTTCTAACAAGGTGCAACCTTCTGCAACAGAGTCTGTCTGTTGGTTCAATGTCGTCAGACTAAATTATTGAATGCAGGAGCAGCACAGTGTTAAGTGATTCCTCCAGTGTCTCCGGTGGGTGACTAAAAACACAAGTGTGTGTCTCCTTACATGGTCATTACTTCTGGGTGGAAAAATGGAGGAACCTACACATGAAGCTTACTACACAAGTTTTAAAAGTATAACCTGGAGATTCAGACAAATGTCCCTTCAGACTCACCGTCTTGTAGATCCTCAGGCTTCTTATGCTTCTCATAAACAACGATGATGACGACCAGGATGATGATCTCAATCAGAACTCCCAGAAGAGGCCACAGGGGAGCCAAGCGGCTGCGAACCCTCAGCACAGACACCTCGCTGTCGCTGCCATAACTGTTAGTGGCGTTGCACTGGTACTCGCCAGGGTCCAGGTCAATATCCAAGTTGGCGATGAGGAGCTTGGTGTGGTTCCCCTCGTTGACCACGACAAAGCGTCCGGTTGAGTTGTCGATTTCCTGTCAGAGTAACAAGAAAATGACCATTAAATTGTGTTAGCGAGTATGAGGCTCAACTTTGTGTTAGCTGCATGTTAATGCACTTTTAACAGAGAAGTCCGATATTATCGAACGATATCGGCAATAAAATGAAATATCAGAAACTATCGGGATCTATTTCTACTCTTTCAACCCATCCACATTCCTTATGGGGTCCAATGGACCCGATGTGGGTTTTTATTTTTTATTTTTTTTTTCGAATGAGCACCACCTCACCCCTGCCACGTGAACCCAAAGGGACAAACCCTGAACCCTGCTCAACCATCCATTGTCCTGGTTGGGTCAGCCTCTAGGACAGCAGGAGGGTTAATGACACAGCTACTGTGGTTATATTATACACCAAACTCTTCAGCTACTGAGCCTAGCCAGCCATGCCGATGCTTCCTCATGGGAAGCAAAGGGCCTCGTAATGCTGCCATTCACATAACCCCACCCCCTGAGATGCTAACCGAGCCAATCAGCGCTGAGCAGCGTATGTCACACACTGCAATGCTCAGTTTCTCATAAACAACAAAGATGGCGTCTGAAGCAGAGTTCGCTGCAGCTCTTTCCTCTGTTCTAAATGACTTGGACATGTCTTTGAAACCACAACAAGAAAAAACATTAAAGCCTTTCGTCTAAAAAAAGATGTGCACTGTCACCAGATGCCATCTTTGTCTACAGCTAAAAAAAACTACAGCGCAGCACAATACAGTCGTCTTTTTTGCCTTTTTTCTGATGGCTTATTTTGAGCGGGCTAGTTTTAGATTGTAGCAGCTGGAGATTTTTGTTTGTTCTGCACAACACGCGAGGATGTAGAGATTTGACCTGTACGACGGGCGTTTGGCAGGATTAGCTCAGGAAGAATGGGAATCAGCAAAAATTTGCCATCTTGTCCATAGCCTAAGTTAAATTGAAGTATTTGTCATATTTGGAACAGATGATGCTAAAGTTTAAGTATGCATGATAGCAGATATGTGATTTTAGTCACCTAAAATTATTTGGTTCTATATTATTTTATTGTGGGGGGATAATGCTATCAGTTTATGTCAGTATTGGAAATTAAGAGTAAAGACTATCCAGATATCAGTAAAAAAACTGATATCAAGCCTCACCATTTCACATTTTAGGTAATATCATACCAGTTTATTTATAAAGCACATTTGAAACCAAAGTGCTGTACAGGAGTGTGAAAGACACACACACAACAACAAAGACAGCATAGGAGAAAATTTTAAAGCTAAAAACAAATAACACACATAAAAGCAAGGCATAAAATTACATTCAGAGTTAACTAACCATAAAACAAGTAAAAGCACTAAGATAAGAGATCAAAGAGAAACAGGTAAAAACTAACTGAGCTACGTTAGTGAGCTAGAAAGTACAGAAGAGTGTCACAAGCTGCCACTAATAGAGAAGCGTCACACTGACCAATGAAGCCAGTCACGTGGGAAAAGCCAGGCTAAATTCTGCCTTCAGAAGAAGAAATGTTCCTTAATGATATCGCTCAAATCCTGGATCCCTGTCCAAACGCTGCGCTGCGAGGAGTCCATAAGATCACAGTAATTAAACTACAGTAGTTAAACAAATGGCAGCTTTAGTCAAAGTGGATTTTAGCCTCATAATCTTCATCCCTCCCGTTAACTGGTAGAAGGCTTTAACAGTTTTAACTTGGATTTGTGGATGCAGCCTCTAACGGTTCACTGATGGAGGATTTACTCTATGTTTTGTCAAAGGCATGCCAGGATTCTGCTCATTTAAATGTTCACCACCTGTAGTAACTAGGTGGAAGACTGAAGTTTATGTTGTAATTATATTTGTGTGTGAGTGTGCGTGTGTGTGCACATGTGTGTGTGTGTGTGCACATGTGTGTGTGTATGTGTGTGTGTGTGTGTGTGTGTGTGTGTGTGTGTGTGTGTGTTCAATACATACACTCCCTTCAAAGAACTGATGCTATGAGCCATAGAAGGCGGTACAGAGGGGTCTATTGGGCCATTCCCATCTGTACCGGGTCGGCCCGGGCCGGGTAGCGTAGGTTGTTTACAAATTTGGGTGACCTGGTATTTTTCCGGGCCAACCAAGGCTCATTCTCAGCCCTCTTCTCGAGGGGGTCTGCTTCAGGCCGACAAGGGCCAACACACCCACTGCTGACAGCAAATTCACACCTTCCATTAGAGCAAGCCTCTGATTGGTGGGTAGAATCAGCCCACATGGGCTTAGGACAAGGATGTGTGGAATCAACCGGGCCAGGCTGGGGCCGACTGGGGCTACCCGGCCCGGGCTGACCCGGTACAGATGGGAATGGCCCATATGTTTCTTATTCCAGGTGCTCAAACCTATCAGGCATAAATGGTGTTGAGTAAGAGGATATGCGTGATGTATGCGTCAGCTGGGACCACCACGGGATAAAGCAGGAGAAGCAGATGGATCAGTGGCTAAACTTTAGGTGATGAACTCCCAAAGTGTTTTCAATTTACTGTTAAATATTAAGTAGTTCCGCCACACTGTCACACAGATGGCCTGGCCTTTGGTTGTTTAGGAAATGTTTTCTTTCCTTAAATTTCAACTGGTTGTCCTGTTATGTTTTTAGTTCAGCATGCCACTTCAATTATGATTAAACTGCTGATTCCACACCTTTTATTAACATTTAATACAGGTTTACGTTCTTATTTTATTGCTTTTAAATGAATCAGTGAAATCAGGAACCGAGTAGAGAGAGACCTGTGAGGAATATAGCAACCTATAGGAAATGTAAATTCATGTATCATTTCAAACATACCTTCACACTGCTGTCTTCCATCTTGAACCAGGACCAGGCAGGGTGGGGATAGCCCACAGACTTACAGCTGAGCTCAGCACGACTCCCCTCATTCTTATTCTCACTACGCTTGTGGCCGGTTATCATGGGGGCAGCTGAAACGAGAACAAATACCTGGATCTGTTAAAAGTTAAAGGTTCCACATCATGCTACTTTAAACCTTGCCCTGCAATGGACTGGCTATCTGTCCAGGGTGTACCCTGCCTGATTGCCCAGCCCCCCCCCCCCCGCAACCCTACATGGACAAGCGAGTTCAGAAAATGGATGGATGGCTTCTTTAAACCTTTAAGAGCAAAGCTAGGCACAGTAAATGATAAAATATTATCGTTGGCACTATTGAGATGTCACTTATCTTAAACATGAGTTATTTTCATCAGCCTGAATTTATAACCGGACTTAAAACGCTTAATTTCAGTGAAACAATGCGCCCACGCCAGCAACAACAAAGCGTGCCTAAAACAGCATGTTAGGAAAGTCAGCTGCTGCGTTGGCTATGGTATTCCAGCTGTGCCATCTCAGTTTTACCATGTGCTGATGCGGGTTCGACTCCTGTTCAACTCATGTTTTTATATTTTAGTTTTATTGATTAATTTCTACAAAACATTTTGTGTCCCTAAACAACTTTGAATTTAGTTGTTTCCATGCAGCATTTTAGTTGATTTACTCTGCTCACCTCACATGGACTCACACTGGCTAAATAAACAAACAAAGTAAAAAAAAAAAAACACAGATTAGTCCTTATATTTTAAACTGTTAGCCAATAAAGGGTTGAAAACAAAATACTGGCAGGTGTAGCTGTAAAAGAAGAAAAAGGTTACTGCTGAGATCGGGATGTGAACCTGTGTAAAACGATGTGCCCGCACAGCACTCTGACCACCAGACTACCAATTCTGACACACGTCAACAGTCGCGTAAGCCACATATCCTGTGCTGTCCAGGAGAGACAGGTTTCAGACCAGGGACTCGCTTCTGTGCAGGGCCTGTTGATGAGACTAGTTTTCACTGACATTTTACAAGATTTTCAACGTAAAAGTCAAAATTTGCAGCTGAAACAGGAAAATAAAGGACTGCATTGATTCAAAAACAATACCACATGGTAAAAAGCTCCAAAAATGTGTATTTTCTTTAAAGCCCCTTTAAAAAAAATAGGTTAAGAAGATTTAGCTTTTTTCTAATCTTTACCTTCAAGATGAAATACTGAATCATGCTTGTAGTAAGATGTGTTTTCCTGAGTCATTTGCATGAAGTCTGGTAAAAAAAACTGAGTTAATTGCCTCATTATAACAATTTCAAATATTTCCCATCACAGAACTTATCTCATGATTAATGAAAATTAAACATTCAACTTCCAGAATTCTGCATATTAGAGATCTCTTTTGCAGTGAGTCTCTTTCTGAATCTGAATCAATAAAACGCTCCATCAAATAATACATAAACCCGCAAAAGTCCAATTTGCCTCCAAAGCAATGCACATGTGGCAGCAGAAAAGGCTGACCGGATTTTACCGTTGAGACATAATCCTTTGCCATCAGACAAACAAGACACCATCTGCTGCCACTGAGCCGGCCTTTGGCTGAATGAAGGTGTCAAGGGCGCCGGCTGCCCCTGAGCAGCCAGCAGAGCTGTTTGAAATCACAGGTCCTCACATGACAGGGCTACAAGTGCTCAAGGTCGCTTGTTTGGGTGACAAATCAAAGTAAATATGCCTGCAGCTGATAAATCAACACCTACATCTAACTTCGATGGTGGCGTTGGCAGATGGAGCATTGTGGAAGTTGTAGACACACATGTACACTCCTGCGTCATCTCCTCTTGGTTTGTTCACCCTGCAGATCAGAGACACACCCCGTGTTAACCCAATGCTGTGTTTGACACACACAAATATAAAAAGCCGAGGGGTTTCCTACCCCACCTGTATTCAGTGTTCGGGTTTGAGCTTTGTGATTCAGGGATCATCTCTCCGTTCTTCATCCAGTAGTTTTCATAGGGCTCGTAGAAGGAGCTGGTGAGGTTGCACTGCAGAGTGATACTGTCCATGATTTCTGTGATGGTGGCGTGCTCGGACGCAACAATTGTTGGCTCTGCAACAGAGAAACGGCTCAGTAGGAGTAATGCTGACTAGGGCTAGGGCTGTTTGGGAAGATCTAAACGACATAGGACACCACAGTTTTACACTCTTGATCAAATGTGAAATGCAGCCTAAATAATTTCAGTGACTATGAGGAAGCTCTCTGGAACTATAACATCATCAAATAGATTTAACTATTCATGTTGAACATTATGGTTAAAATAGAAGCTTGAAAATAAAAACTATTTGCGTTTTAGACTGAACCTTTCAGAGAAGCTACAGAAAAGCCCAGCTATCGTTGCTTGAACCTGCTAAGACTGAAACCTTCACCAGCTTGTTGTTTGACTCCAGTTATTCAAGTTGCTTTTGTATTCAGAGCATCACATCAGAGGAAATCTATACCCAGTTTGTCAGGCTGTCTTCATCTGATTACTTATTCAAACACTATTTTGAGAATCAACATTACTTTTCCATGTATTTGTGTGTTGATAATTTGATTAATTACCTTAATGTAGGGATGCAACGATACCACTTTTATCCAAACCGATACGATACCAATACTTGGATCTGAGTACTCGCCGATACCGATTACTAATACCGATACTTCCACCACACAAAAAAATGCAATGATTTGGAATACAGATTTTATTTTCTTCTCTGCTTTCAACAGGAAAAGACTGTGAGGTAGATAAAAAGTAAAATATATGAATGGAAGTCATCACAAAACTAAAATATTAGGTGAACAGAAAGGACAAGTTACAGTGAAGCCATTTTCAAGCAACTGCATTGGTATCGGTTCCAGGTATCGGTTAACTTTTACCGATATCGGTATTGGTATTGGTATCGGCACCGATACCAGTATCGTATCGGTGCATCCCTACTTTAATGTACTTTGACTCCAAAGTTCAACAAATGAAAAATAAAACATGGATATTACAAATAAAGAAATGTGCATATAGGGAAGGATTTTGTTACATGTAAAGAAAACTGTTAACTATGAGAAAATGAACAGAGGAAACTAAAGGGAAGCTCGGCTCTACAGTATGAAGGACTGAATTTGGGATTCACTGGGATAAATGGTGTTTCTTTTCAGCACCTATGCCTGTAGAGGTGGACGAAATCTATGAAGGATGCTAGTGGTCCTCTGGGGCGGTAGGAAGGAGGCGGAGTCACACAGAAACTGGGGGTGGGACATTTTACACCGACCACTCACTCTGAAGCACCATAACAGTAGCCTGAGCTCGGATCCAGGAGATGGCTGGATTCTGATGGAGGTTGTTCCGTCTCGGGTCATTGCTGGCTCTGCACTCATATGTCCCCGCGTCATCCAGGGTGAGACGCGTCACCCCCAACATGCTCACCGAGTTGACGCCGTACGCTGTGCTGATGGACACCCGCCGCTTACGGGCGCCGTCCCATAGCTGCCTGAAAGAGTCGGCTCGGTTGATCTCAGAGTACCACCACTGGATTTCTGGGGTGGGGTTACCTACTACATCACAGTACATCTCAAATGTGTCTCCTGTGAGCTTAGTCTCAGACAGAGGAGATTTCACAAAGCCTGCTGGTGGTCGTTAGAGGGGAAGCATGTCCAAAGATCAGCCCAAAATAGAGATGTTGGATGGAGAAGCAAGAAAATAAAAGATTAAATCAAATTAGAGTCAGCAAAGGATAAATGAGGAAGGAAAAAAACATAACAAAAGTATAAATTATGACAACTTACATTTAAATACAAACAAATTGAGGAAATGGAAGTAATTTTTTATGTTAATCAAAAGGTAAATCAGGTTAGCACGTGTAAACTCTTGACTCTCTACAAAAGCTCTAATGAAGTGACAGCACGCTCTTGGAGATTAGAAGAATATCTGTGATCATGTTCCAGATTCTAGGAAGAAAATACTTTATGTCTGTATCGGCCAATGTCGCTGATATTCCTGTGAAGCTTTAAGTCAAATCTGCTGGGACGACCCTGCTAGCATGCTATCACTTAGTTTGTCCATTTAAAAACATCACATTAGATTTGAGACAGGGTCATTCTAAAGTCCTCCGTATGACCTTGCCATTTTCAGCTCTTTTTATCTGATTACGGTAATAAAAACATAATTAGGTATGCCTCATGCTGATGAAATTCTCTCTTAGACGTAGTAATGAAAGTGATCATGACAGTTCAGAGAGGATGAGGAGGAGGAAGAGGAAGAGGAGGACAAGGGTTGCAGTCATCGGTCTAGGCAGCATGGAGAGCATGATAGATTGAGAGGAGATTTATACAAGCTGTGCAGCTCTTGGTCTCTGGGGAGAGTGTGGGCGCCTGGTGAGAGACACCCCCCCCCCCCCCCCCCCCCCCTTCCATAGAAGCACACGTCACTAAAAGCGGCAAGAAATTAAAAATAAATAAAAAAGTCAGCCAACAAGATCTGGGAGACCAACAAGAGACAACATGAATCCCCCAGCCGGTTCCTGGAGCCCGGTCCTTACTGCACAGCATCATCTAGATTCCTACAAGTGAGAGGCATGACTGGGAATCTAAAGGGAAAACCTCAGCTCTCAAAAATGCTGAGAGGTGGACGCTGCCAGTTCAGATCCACCAGATGTGTGGACAGAGCCGGGCCGACAGCCTCGTCTCCGCTCACCGATCTACTGTACGTGTCAGAATGATGTTTAGTTTGAGCCGGAGTTTTCTTACATCTGCCTCGTGTGTCAGTTTGTGCATCAAAAACATCAATTATCTTCAGTGCCAATCATTGCTTTAAATGCATACAATATACGAAATAAACACATCTTGAAGCTCAGAAGAAGAAACCATGACTTCTACTCATGAAATTTCAACTGCGTGAAAATCCAACTTCCTGTTGGAGACGCAATAAAATAAATGATTTATTGATTCATGATTGTTGGTAACCATATATTTTAAAGGGCTTGTTAAGCTCTTCTGATGTCAGTTCCTATGATAAAGTTTAGAAATTATTAGTATTTTGTCTGTTGCTCATAGCTTAATAACCTGAGTTTAGAGAAACAGATTGGTTCTGAACTGATGAGAAAACCATATAAACATGAACTTATGTGCAGGAGTGAAACAGATCTTCCATCACTTCTCCTATAAATAATTACAGAACTCTTACGTAACTGTATGGTAATATAATAGTTTACAGAATGCAGCTAAGATAACTCCTTTAACATGGTTGAGAATATCGCTTTTAAATGACAATAATCTAACAAATTAAAACTTAACAAAAATCTAAACCGAAACTTTATTAATAGTGAAATTTGAGGAAGACATGAATGCTATAATTATTTGCTGACTTCTGACTAATAATAATAATAGCAAATGAAAGCACCGATCAGACGGTCCCACCCAGGGGTGGACTGACCTATCTGGCATTCTGGCACTGTCCCGGTGGGCCGCATAGCCAAGTGGGCTGCTTGCTCAGCTTGGGCCGACGCTACTCCACAGTTGGTGATCTGCAGAACATTAGCTACACGGTAAACCGAAGCTAACAGAGATTTTCCAGGCGTTTTTAGCAGTAGAAAAACGCAGTAGAGCGATGACGTAGGAGTTGTTTTACCGTGTTAGCATGTAGCTAACGTCCCGCTGATCTCAACTCGTGGAGAATGAGCTGATCTGGATGGCCAGGGCTCCCGGTCGCAGCGGTCTGGCCCTGCTTGTAATTTAACAGTCTCAGTCCATATTAGATATCACATTCGGCCTAGAGACAAGTCCGCGTGCGGCAACACCCCCCATCCCAACTGCTCTCCCAATGGGGAGGCCCGACTGAGGGCCGACGATTTGTAAAAATGCCAGGGCCGAATTTTAGTCCCAGTCCACCCCTGGTCTCACCTGACGATGGGGCTGGTTATTGTTTAATTATATAACTGACACGCTGGAGGGTCTATGTTTCTCAGCTAGCCAGGGAATGCCTTAGGATTCCCCCAGAGGAGTTGACCCATGGGGAGAGGGAAGTCTGGGCCTTCCTGCTTAGGCTGCTGCCCCCATGACCCGGCCCTGGATAAGTGGTCGAGAACGGATGGATGTATAACTGTTTCTCTCTGGTCCCAGTAACGTACCAGGGCATTCTGGATAAGCATCTAATCACACAAAATGAGAACAAATACAGCTTAACTGCTCTGTTGGACTGTGTGTTCTTTAGTTTTCAAGAAATTCTGATTTTAAATACTGCTTCACGACCCTTTGAGTTAGACAAGATGCCATCAAAGTAAATGGATTGTCTTTTCTGTTAAAAATAACATTAATTTGAGTTGAAGCCATTTGTTTGTTGTACAGATAACAGATAAAAAGAACATCATCAACATTCATTCATGTCATTGTTACAAATCAAAGTAACCATGGCTACACTTCATTTTTACAAATGTTGAGTGAATGTGTTTCCAGTCAGAAGAATTTATAATTGTTGTGAACATGTTCTAGATTTAGTGCACATTAATTGTTCAAAGACTCTAGCAAGTAATGAATAATAAATATCTTACCTGCCAGATAGCAGGCAGAGAAGCAGAGTTGGACCAGTTCAAAACTGATTAAAACAATCTTCTAATCCATAGCACATCATAAAAATGCTAAATATTTCCATCATTTTCATTTTGTGTCACAACGTTATTTACTAATCAAACTGATATTTCTAAACACAAAAATGAGCAGAACTTTCAGAGAAAAACTGGTATGTCAAGAAAGCTGTGTGGGGTCAGGATTTATGTTTAAACAGTATTTACATGAACTCCTAAACGTGTGAAATTACGTTAAAGTTAGATGTAGGTGTTGACACTTTGGTCCTACGACTCATCAGTCTGGTCAGAATTCATCTGTATTTGTCCAAACAGAGGTTGTTCTAAGTCAGCTGTCATTTGTTCATACCTACAGAATCTCACTTGAGAAGATGTGAAGTGTCCAATTAAAACTGTTCTACTTTAAATGTGACACACATCCACAGAGAAGCTCAACAGAATCTGGTCCATGAACAACCTTCATCAGATGAAGATGAGGAGATCACATTATCCATCTGTGTCAAAAACATAACACGTCTGACTGAAGAGGAGATGTTATGAGTGGGTGTGCGGTGCAGAGGATGTGTAATGCAGTCCAGGGAAGGCCAAAGTGCCTCATTCTCACACACACCGCCTGTAAAAAGATCCGACTTCACACTTACAGCAACAGATCCTATGCTATGCTGCCCTAATCTGATTGGGGAGGATCTGGGCAGAGGGTCATCAAGACTCACACGGAGAACTGTGCATGGAGATCAATGCTTTTCTGCAGTGCAGAACATCTCAGTGAAGAGTTAACAGATTCAGAAGGACATTAAAGCCACAGATCCCTGAGCAGCATCTCTGCTCTAAATATAGCAGCATGCAGCAGAATGGACTGGTGCTATTTACAGATCCCTTCTCCTGAAGTCCTACACCTAATTACATGAGCCTGTATGATGAGCCTGGGCTGATGCAGACAGAAAACGCAGGATTCCTGAGCTGAAAGCAGACATGCATGAGTGTGTGAGGGTTTAAATTTCAGCGTGTCCCAGTTCCCCTGCTCCTCTACCTGTTCCACTAACTCATCAGCAGAACTTGTCCTCGCTGACTGAACCGCTCAGTATTCAGATCCACACTTCAAAGGACATTTTAGGAGCGTCTTTCAGGCCTCCGTCTTGGCCCACTTCAGCCCGCAGAAAGCAGATTGTAGCTTATCAATGATTTATCAATCTTTCATTTCAAAGCTCAGGGCACAAACGGTGTTTTGTTTTACTCTGAGGTGAAAAATGTGGTTGTTTATTAACGACGGATGGTAATGTTAGAGAGGCAGCGCTATTAATAAAACCGTTTTATCATAAATAAGCTCATGCGGGCATCTTGATCCACCCTTAAAACCGCATTTTCGCCATGATGAGAGGAAAGCGTCATTCATTTTCTACCGGCAGAGTTCATTTCCTACCGCTCTGAGAGGAGACGGACTGCAGCATCAACATCCCAAATATCGCCACCGTTAAGGACATGACTGCGGCTCTGCGTTTGCCAGGTGTCATCTTCTGACGGAGATGCTCGGTGGAAAATGCCGGTGGAGAGGCTGGAAGGTGACCTGAGCGGGTGGCGGCGCTCCGGACGGAAGCTCCAGAGGGGGAGGTGTCTGAGGGTGTTCTAACGCGGATGCTGCGGCTCCAGCTGGTTACCTGTGCGGCTCTGCTGCCTGCCCCGGTGCTCAGAGGAAACCACCGTTCTTTCAGCCTAAATCCCGCGATATTTCGAACAGCTCACAGAGAACAGTGTCTCAAAGCCTCATCAAATTGTTGAAAAAGAAACACAACACTGGCGAACCAAGATAATTGTCATGAGGACCAGAGTCGGCACCAAATTGGTTCTTTTAACTCTGGGACAGTTTTGCTCAGTCAGGGATCTGCAACCTGCAGCTTTGGAGACCCCTAACGTTCTTTGGACCTCCATAAGAATGTCTCTTAAATTCTTTGGCTATACACTCAAATCTAACTCATGTTTTTTTTTTTTTGAAGAATTCAGGCAACAACAACATGCCCCCAAAAGAATGACACTTAAAGTACAATTCTTTTCTGTTTGTTTTGTACACAATGTGCCACAAATATCAACATCCCATGGAAGACATCCACGTTCATTTTGCAATATTTTTTTCTAAATATGAAGACATAAGCAAATTTATGAGTGCATTTTAGTCCTTTCTTTTTCAAAATGAAAACTAATTATTTATATTAGGTGATTATTGACGAGGGAAAAAGACTCCTGACTTTAACCTCAGAGTTTTGACCTTTTTTTCTCAGAACTAGACTTAGACTATTTTTTTTTATTATCTTCAGTAGGTCAACCAACCCATAAGCCTCAATCTTAAGAATCCTGAAAAGTCCACCTTGACTTAATTTTAACAAATGTCCCTCATCTTTAGGCTTCTTCTGCAATGACATGAGCGATCGTTGTGTTGTTGCCACAATAACAGCCTTGAGTCTGTTGGGATACTTCTGTTTTACCTTTGCACACCTAGACTGATCAATATTTCTCTGCACTTCTTTTCAAAACTATTCAAGTTGTATGGTAGACGTTGGTGGACTGCAGTCATCAAATCTCTCCACAGATTTTAAATGTGACTATGGACTCTGACCGGGTCCTATGACATTCCCCTTCCTGATTCGTGATTGATGTAGCTTTCATAGATAATGGTGGCAAGTTATCGAAGGGGATAAAATTCCTTGTTATTGTACTTATTTTTTATTTTCCTTATTTGGGTTTGTTTTGTTTTGTTACTTCCTTTTGTTTGGTTATCGGATAAACAGGGGGGGATGTTATGGAAAAATTCATGTTTATTAATTCTTGATCATTGACTCAATCAACTGAATGTAAATGTATTGCTCCATGCCTCTTTGCATGACACGCCCACACAAGACACACACACACAAACACACTCTTGACTCCCCACACACACACACAATCTCTCTCTCTCTCTCTCTCTCTCTCTCTCTCTCTCTCTCTCTCTCTCTCTCTCTCTCTCTCTCTCCCTCTCCCTCTCTCCCTCTCTTTCTCCCTATCTCTTGGTATAAATAAACTCAGTGACCGGATGTTCGGGGCATTTTACCTCGTGCATCACGCCACAGTTATAACTGTTTGACTTGTCTGCTCATTGTCTCCTTCTCTCTTCACTATAGGAAATTGGTTATTGATAAAATCCATGACAATGACCAAGAGCAAAATCTCAGAAACATCAATTTGTTTCTTACCTGTGGTATAGTATAACATTTGTGGGTCCGTTTCTTTGCCACTGATCCTTTGGATGAGTCATCCGGGCTGCACCATTTCTGAGGAGGTGTACTGTAGATGGTTTCATAATCGCCTGACCAGTTGGTGCACATACAGGCTAGATAACATCCATCAGTTAACAGGATTATTATCCATATTAATGCAGGAATGAGGCTTTGTTTCAGTGCTTCCCAACATAACTTACAAAAGTCACAACACTGCGTATGTGAGTTACATGTGTTTTCTTTAAACATAAATAGAAAGACCACTGCAGGAGGAACAAGAAAAAATGCTAATGCAAAAACAGCATTGAACCTGTAATCACAAGGACAAGAAAATTCCATTTCCACTATCTTTTCCAAAACCAGAGAAAATAATCCAAAACAAAAAGTGGATGCCAGTCTGTTATTTTGAATTTCTTTGATCACCCTTGCCACCTATTTGGTCTTTTCAGCCATATCTAGTTTTAGACACAGAAAGAAAACAAAGGTGTTAACATCTTTTGTTAGGTTGAAACAGGAATAAATATGTTATTGTTACAACTGAAATGTGCATTTGTTTTTCATTAATCTCCAACATAATCTGCTGGTGTTAGTTGTCAACTTCAGATAAAAGCTTATTTCTGCATTTCAGTGAAAGTAAATAAAACATTCAAACAACAGTAATTGAGTAGTAAATTTTAAACCACGTTAAAGCACATAAAATACAGTTATAAGAGGGCAAAAACAAATTAAAAAATGACTTTGAAGAAAACACAGAATGAAGGTCAGAAAATCCACCAAATTTCTCTTGAGTAGATGCAGGTTCTTTGTTCTGAAGCAGAAACTAAAGGAGGAGTTATTGAGCACACCAACCCAATCTTTTTCCTCAGATAATCATACCAAATAAAGGCATGTTCTAACTTTGCTTTGAGACTATGTACGGTGCAAGTTGTAACAGGTCTACAACCCATGCAAGTTCTCACAAATGATTAAACACAAAAAAGAAACTCAGTCTGCTTTCCTTAAAATGTTCAGTTGATGCACACTCAGCACTAAGATACGATTTAAGTTCCTAAGTGTAGATTATAGTTTTATTAAATATTTTAATATGTAAAACCACATTTTTAATTAGTTATTTAAACAGGTTAATCAGTTACAATTGTGCTACAAGGAGGAAACTGGAAAGATAGGCTACCAAGAGGTCAATGGACATTCTGAAGGAGTAACAGTACTTTATGGCAAAGAGTGGTGATTCTGAACAGGTGACAACAATTTCACAGATGTGGCTTGTTCAGGGAGGGTCACAAGGAAATAAACCACTTCTCAAGAAAGGCCACGTTAAAACTGGTTTGAGCCTTGCCAGAATGCCCCTTGAACATTCTGATGCCAAATGGAAAAAGTTGGTCAGTTGAGACCAAAATTGAACTATTATGCCTCAACACTAAAGGGTACACCAGGTGTAAATCCAATGCAGCCCACCATCTATAACACACCATACCTACAGTAAGGCATGGAGGTGGCAGCATTGTTATGTGAGGGTGTCTCTGCCTCAGGGATTGGGGCTCTTGAAAGAAAAAAACAAGGATGGAGCAAACTTCTTGAAGTAAGCCTGCTACCCTCCGCCTTAAAGTTGAAGTCAGGCAGAGGTTTAATCTTTCAAATGACAGCAAGTGAAAGCGCACATGTAAAACTGACCACAGTGGTTGACGAAGAAAAAGGGGAATGTCCTCATAGGACCCAGTCAGAGTACAGACATAAGTCACATTTAAAATCTGTGGAGAGATTTGATGACTGCAGTCCACCAATGTCTACCATACAACTTGAATAGTTTTGAAAAGAAGTGCTGAGAAATATTGATCAATCTAGGTGTGCAAAGGTAAAACAGAAGTGTCCCAACAGACCTGAGACAGTTCCTCCGTCCTTCTCAGTGTAAGAACATAGGTTGACCGGTAAATCGAGAGCTTTGCCTAAATTGGTACAATGCTCGAATCACTGCAGAGGCAGAACCAATCTGCCATAATCCATCTTTCCCTCTCTTGTGAACAAGACCCTGAGATACTTAAACTCCCCCACTTGGAGCAGCACCTCATCCCTGACTCAGAGAAGGCCTTCTACCCTTTTCTGACCCAAGACCATGGTCTCGGATTTTAAATACAAATAAAAACCAGTGAAGATAAAATTCAAATTTCATAGGCTGATGTCAATTAAACAATTATCTAATTGTTGAAAATGTTTTATTATGTAAATCTACAATATTACATCAGTAATAAAATGTAATTGACTCTTATATACTGCAGTATTTGGATCCAACACAAGGAGGCAGAAGATAGAAAAGAATTCAACAGAGCACAAGTCTGAGTAATGTACTAATGCTCTTAAGGAGATAGGGTCTAAGAAATTGTGGTATGTGTATCAAGGATGATACATTAAGCAATAAGAGGTTAAATGATTAAAATATACATATATAAACAAATTATAAATAATAAAAAAACAGAGTGTAAATGTCCAATGACCTTCTCTATAATCCATATTCCAGGAGTTCATTGAAAATCTATTGCATTTCCTGACTTCTTGCAGCAGTATTTGGAGCAGCATTGATGAATCGTAAGCAAAAAAAAATCAGAACTAGTCCAATCACTACTCCAATGAGCTAAAGAAATAAAAATAACAAAGAAAAATGTGTTATCAGTAAAGAAACACATTAATGAATGACATAATTACGTAAATTAGCAGAACGTTGGGAACAAAATGACAATAAATTCTAACCTGAGAAATAGAGTACAACTCCTGGGTCTGGTTCACAAACTCAACTGATGAGTTGGATGGTTGACACCATCTCAAAGACATAGCAGGCTCCATGATTTCATACTTTACTGACCAGGGTGTCAACAAACAGACGTAGTAACGGCCATCAAGAAACAACAGAAACACCCAAAACACAGCAGGGAGCACGCTGTGAAAGTAAGTTTTACTGAATGATTTAAACATCCCCAGATGTTTGTACAGTAGACACATAATCAAAGAGACCGTAACAGCTGGAATGATGAAAAACGCTGACGCAAACCAAATGTTCCAGCTGGAGTTACAAGGGCAGAAAAACTCCATCTCCAATAACTTTTCAAAACAGAAAAGAATGAGTCCCAACAGGAAGCTTGACAACACAGGGCTCTTCTTGATTCCTTCTAGCACCTAAGGCAGCCATTGTTTAACTGACTCCATGTTAGTTCTACGCAACAAAAGAAACAAAGGTAAACAACATTATGTATATAAATATATATTTATGTTTATGAAGCTACATAGTGAGTTCTGTTTGCCTCACAGTAAAAAGTTTTGTGTTTGAGATCAAACCTGTTCCAAGTGCGAATGTCGTTGGTGAAAATCTGTCTCAGTTCCTCGGTTTGGCTCCTGTCTAGGAATTAAAGTTCATCACGGTCGGTTGTTTTTACCTTCAGCTCTGTAAAGAAACATATTTGCATCTTTAGCTGAACTTTAGGCAAAGTATTTGTGCTT